TATTATATTAATAGTATCATTAAAAAAAAAAATTTGTAATATTATTAAGATAAAAATAATTAACACAACTTAAGATAGGAAACCCAATTTAAGAATTCAATTATTAAAATATAAACTGACAAAAAAAAAAAAAAAACTATAAAAAAAGAGAAGAAAAAGTATGCGTCCTTATTCAAAAGACAAAAAAGAAAAAAACTTTTAAAACTTCAATTTTATATATATTTTTTGAATTTTTTTTTTTATATCTCCGCAGGATCTATATATAGAACACTAGTTTTAATGAATATTTAAAGTAATGTTAAATTATATAATTATAATTTTTTTTAAATAAAATTCATTAATATCTTTTATTAATAATATGAAGTTTAACTTGTACGAGAACTTCAGAATAAACCTACTTAAGATAATTCAAAAAATTGAAAAAAAAAGAAAAAATTTTCCAAGTTTTTACATAATTTCATATATTTTAAAATTTTATAATCGTTTAATCATTAAGAAAAAAGAATTTTTGTAAAGTAATTTGTAAAATATCAAATATTTCTATTTTTTTGGTTAAATATATGTCACTATAAATAATAAATGGGAAAAAAAAAAATTCTAAAAATTATTAAGAGAGAGCTTGAGATAATAATATAAAATAATATTTTCTTAAAAAGTTATCTCATTTAAAAAATGAAAATAAATTCTTTTAATGAATATACTGTTATGAGAATATTAATAAATAAAAAAAATGTACAAAAATATTTTAAACAGAATTTTTTATAATTTAAGTTAAAAGACTATTTGATATATTCTTGTAAGGTTAAATTGAAACAACCTTATTTATAAAATAAAAGTAAAAAATTTTTCATATATTTGTCAGTTCTCAATTTTTGAACTGGATATTTAATTAGAGATAATTAAATATATATTTTTTTTTTTTTTTTGAATGAAGGTAAAAATAATTTACAAAAAATATCTAAATAAGATATATAAATTATTATGTAATATATTTCCTATATATCCATTTGAATTTTTAATTCAAGTTACAATAAACTTACGTTTATATATATATTTTATTATTTTCACTAATTCATTGAACAAATGTTATCTTTTTAATTCATAATATATCATTTTTTTATTCCTTATTTTTTAATTTTAACTTTTTTCTTTTTTTATATTTTCAAAGCTTTAAATTGCATTAATTTTTAAGTGCTTAAATATGAAATGTTTATATCCATTAAATATATTTTTTTTTTTTTTTTTATCATTTTCTTTTTTTTATTTTGCATAACACTAAAAAAAAAATTAAAAAAATAAAAGGAGAAAAATAAATATTAATATAAAATTATCTTATTTTAATTTTTTATATTAAATTTAATTTTTTTTTTCTTTTATAAAAACTTATTTTTCCAAAAAATTTATGCAGCTCATTTTAAATTAAAAAAATTAAAATATTTATTTATTTTTGTTTTATAAGACCCTTATATAATTTATTTTATTATTAATTCAAGAATTATTATTTAATATATTTTTAAAAATATTTAAAGTTTTTTTTTTTTTTATGGGATTTTTCTTTTTAATTTTCCATTTATTACAAATATATATATATATTTATATATATATTTTAAAAAATGACAAATAATAAGTTATAATTATTTAATTCATATCGTGTTAAAAAAATTAAAGAAATTTTTTTTTTTGCTTATTTTGCATTAAAAAAAAAAAATGTACAAATAAGATAAATAATGTTATATAGCAATAATATTATATAGAAAAAAAGTTTTAAGGCAATTATATTTCTATATTAAAGAATATTTAAAAGTGTAAGAAGTTTAGATAAATTATTTAAAAAAAAAAAAGAAGCGAATATCAATTAAATATTAGCATAAATAAGAGTATGTGATTATAACATAAAAAATACATATAATTATTATATCAGAATATTATTTATTTAACGAAAAATAAAAAAAAAAAACACGAATTTAAAAAGTAATGCATAACTTAATAAAATTTTAAAAATATAAAGTAAAATAAGAATATATAAAAAAATAATTTATTTTATAAGAGAAAAATAATATATTTGTAAGCATAAATATATATAAATATATACTAATAAGCAAATTTTGAGAACATGAGAGGATATAATAACTATCACAATAGATACAACAATTATCCTGATTACAATAATTTAGCAAATTATCAAGCATATCCACAATATAGAACAAATTATAATGATTTTGGTGCTAATAATAATAATTCAAATAACTATGGTAAAAACTTAACGCAGATTGATTGGAAGAATGTAAAGTTGGTTCCATTTGAAAAAAATTTTTATAAGGAACATGAAGAAATATCTAAATTAACAACAAAAGAAGTAAAAGAAATAAGAGATAAACACAAAATTACAATTTTAGAAGGTGATAATGTACCTAATCCAGTTGTATCAATAAATAAAATAGGTTTTCCAGATTATGTTATAAAAGCCTTAAAAAATAATAACATAACTGCACCTACACCTATTCAAATACAAGGGTGGCCAATAGCATTATCAGGTAAAGATATGATAGGTAAAGCGGAAACAGGAAGTGGAAAAACGTTGGCTTTTATTTTACCTGCATTTGTTCATATTTTAGCTCAACCAAGTTTAAAATATGGAGATGGACCCATTGTTTTAGTATTGGCACCAACTAGAGAATTAGCTGAGCAAATTCGTCAAGAATGTATCAAATTTTCAACAGAATCTAAAATAAGAAATACGTGTGCATATGGAGGGGTCCCCAAAAGTGGACAAATTTATGCTTTAAGACAAGGAGTACATATTTTAATAGCATGTCCAGGTCGTTTAATTGATTTATTGGAGCAAAATGTTACAAATTTAATGAGAGTTACTTATTTAGTATTAGATGAAGCTGATAAAATGTTAGATATGGGATTTGAATTACAAATTAGAAAAATTGTTGATCAAATTAGACCTGATAGACAAACATTAATGTGGTCAGCAACATGGCCAAAAGAAGTTCAAGTTCTTGCAAAAGATTTGTGTAAACAGCAACCAATACATGTAAATGTTGGTTCATTAACCTTGACTGCGTGTCGTAGTATTAAACAAGAAATTTTTCTTATAGAGGTAATACGTTTATTTTTTTTTTTCTTATTTTAATTAATATTTCTATAAAATATTATGTTTTATATTTTTTTTTTTTTTTTTTTCCTAGATTTGTTATATTATTATTATTACTTTTTTTTTATGTTCAATTTTTTTTTTGTAAATTTTTATAATTTGTTTTTTTTTTTTTATTTACTTTTGTTTAGTTACAAATTTAAATTTTTCAATTTTTATTTGTATTTTTTTAATACTTCATTTATTTCTACAATTATTTATTGTATACATATTTTTTTATATTATTTTTTTTTAAATCCATAATTAATAATTAGATTTGTTTATTTCTTCCCTTTTTTTTTTAAATTTAATACACATTTTTTTATGTAAATATATAATTAATTTTTTTTATACATTTATTGTATTTTATTATTTGTTAAGTATTCTAAATTAAATTACATAAAGAAAATGATGAATGTTTTGTGCAAATAATAATAAATTAGATATTTTTTTGTTTTCATTATTATATTCATTTTATATTACTTTTCCATTTTTGACTTATTACATTATATATTTATAAATATTCATTTAAATATATATATATATGGAAAGAGAAACATTTTATTTTATTTTATTTTATTTTATTTTTTTTTTTTTTTTTGTGAATTTTCCATTTTAATATTTCTTGTGTATTACATTATATGTAGTGTTCTATATTATTGAATTGCTTTTAATAAGGAGACAGCAATTCATTGCAAATTTATAAGTGATAACTTTTTTCTTAATAAAAGTTTTTTCAATTTTTTTTAGGCAATCTTGCCCTTCCTTGATACTTTTAAATGTCCGCATGTATTTTTTCTACCTCTTTTTTTATATTTACTATTTTTTGTTAGTATGTTTATTTTATTTCTTATATATTTTTATTTTTTGCAATTTATTTTTATTTTTGGTTTTATTATTTACAAAAATATAATAATATTGTATGTAAATAATAAAAATAAAAAGTTGTCTAAATAATACAGAGGTTTTTAATATGCATGTGGATAACTATTTTAATTTTTTTAAAAAATTAAAGGTGGCAAGATTGTCGAAAAAGAAAAATAAGAAAAAAAAATATACATCATATATTTTTTTTTTCAAGTCCTATCACTTTAAATTTGCAATGAGGTTAGTTAATGATATTGTTTCGTTTTTATTTATAATGAAAATAAAAACGAAAACAAGAATGTTATCCTTATTAAATATACAAAAATGTTTTTGTGTGTATTTGTATACTTACATAAGTATATATATAAATATATAGTTATATAGTTATATATTTATTTATATGGAAATATTTTTTTTTTTTAATATAGGAGCATGAAAAAATAGCTAACTTAAAATCATTACTGCACAAAATATTTAAAGATAACGATAGAATAATAGTATTTGTGGAAACTAAAAAAAGTAATAAATAATTTTAATGTTAATACTTTTATTTTCTCTCTATGATATATAATAATGTTTTATATATATATATATATATATATATATATATATATATATATATATATATATATTTTTGTATTTTTTTTTTCTAATAGATGCTGATTTTATCACAAAAGCATTGAGACTGGATGGAATGCCTGCACTATGTATACATGGAGATAAAAAACAAGAAGAGAGAAGATGGGTTTTGAATGATTTTAAAACAGGTAAAAGTCCTATACTAATAGCCACGGATGTAGCATCAAGAGGTTTAGATATAAAAAATGTAAAATATGTTATAAATTTTGATTTTCCTAATCAAATTGAAGATTATGTTCATAGAATTGGTAGAACAGGAAGAGCTGGATCACATGGTGCCTCTTATACTTTTCTAACAGCAGATAAATACAGACTTGCTAGGGATTTAGTTAAAATATTAAGAGAATCTGAACAACCTGTTCCACCTCAGTTAGAAAAAATTTCCTATTCAATGGGTAACCATCAAAGAAGAAATCCTTATTACAGCTCAGGTCGTGCTACAAATGCTAATAATATTCCTCTAAAAGGAGTAAATAGATTTTACTAATTTTAAATTTATATATTTTAATATACGCAAAAAAAAAAAAAAAAAAAGATAACAAATATTTGTACATATATATACGTGCTTTATAAAAAAAAAAAAAATGAATTAAAAATTTTGTTAAAATTTAATGACGCTAAAAATCATTAAGTCAATGTTATGGATTTATATTATTTTTTATAAAAAATTCTAGTATTATCATTTGAAAATATTTTCATATATATTTTAGGTCTACTATTTATATAATTTTATATTAAATTTTTTTTTAAAATATTGTATAATAGAAAATATTTTTAAAGTATGGAGATTTTTTTTTTTTTTTTTTTTGTTATTTACATTGTTATATAACTTTATCATACATATAAATATATATATATATATTTATATATATATATATATATATTATTTATATATGGTTTGTTATTCGTTGGTTTTTTTTTTTTTTAATCTTCATTAATACACTAAATTATATATTTTTTTAAAAATTTAAATAACTTTTCAAATTAAATTTTGGAAATCATATATGCAAAAAATAACATATAATATGCAACATCATATAATAGTTATTTTTTTAAACAACTGTTTGAATATATTTGCATACCATATAAAAAAAAGAAAAAAATTTAAATAAAGAACAAAACTTTTAATAACTATTAATAATGAAAATATTAAAGCTTTAGAAAATATAATTCAAAATAACAAATTAAAATTTCACGATGTATTTTATTTTAGTAATAAAATTCCTTCCTTTTTAATTATTTCCGAATAAGCTTTTTAATGATGGATATTTATTTAATTTTATAAATTAAGCTCATATATCTCACATATATTTTTTTCTTGGAAAAATGATAATCATATAAGAAAAAGTTCATTAAAAAAAATATTTTAAAATTCAATATTTTTTATTTACATTTTTAAAGTAATTTTTATTTATATATTTATGTATATATAATTTACCAAAAATTTATTTAAAAGTAAAAAAAAAATAAAAAATGCAAAGTGATATAAAAGGGATTAAAAATATTTATATAAAATATCAAAAAAATGCATTAACAAAAAAAATAAAATATATTTTTAAAAAAATTTATAAGAAAAAAAATTAAAATTAAGCAGAAAAATATAAATTTTTTTCTACATACCCCAAAAAAAAGAGGAGAAATATGAAAAAAATTCGAGTGGTATAAATTTGATATTTAAAAATATACATAATAATAAAAAAACACTAATATTATTTGTATTTCGGTGTGTGTACTTATTACATAACGAATCAATCTTTCGCCTTTTACTAAAGATTGCCGTGTATTAAGTACGATAAATGCATTATACCACGAATTTTTGTCGCGTCTTTATGACGCTTAACAATTTTTAATTATCAATATTTTTCATGCAAGTATAAACATTTTTTATTTTTTTTTTTTTTTTAATTAGTTTAAAATGAATTTAATTCATATATAATTTTTTCAATTATTTATTTTGAAATTCTATTTTTATTAAAAATCTTTTACTTATGTAAATTTATAATTGTTTCAAATTTTATATAATTATGAAATATGAATAAATAAGGATTTTCTAAAAAATAATTTTTTTTTTTAAAAATTAATAAAACATGTATGAATTTTTCCTTTTTTTTTTTTTTTTTAATCAAAAATGTAAAATATAATTTTTTTTTTTTTTTTTTTTTTTTTTGTTTTTTTTTTACTTATGAATATTAAATTTATTTATTAAGTAAACTGATTCAGGTAATGATAAAAGTTCTCGCTTTATATCTTCTAAGATATTTTCTGATTTCACAGCAATTACTTTAGGTGGAACAAAAGAAGTTAATTTGCTAAAATTATTAAGTTCGTTTTTAATTATTAATGATCTATTGTATTTATAAGTTTTTATAGGTGTTGGAATATTAAAAACTGTTTCTTCTTTTAAGAAATTATTAGTATTACTTCCTTTTTCTTTATTTATTAATGATTGTTTATTTTTTTCATTTTTACAATTATATGCAGAAGAATTTTTCTTTACTATTATAGTAGGAGGTTCTTCAGTGTATGTATTGGTATTTTCTATAATTTCATGTGCTAAATCTAAATTAGGTATGACTTTTGCTTTTAGTCTTCTTCCACTTAATCTAATTCTTTTCCCCCAATCAATTTGATTTATTCGATGTTTCTTTTTTAATTCGTATTCTTTTTCATTTTGATCATTTAATGAAAAATTAAAGTAATTGCTTTTATATCCTCCTCTTAACCCATTTGCCCATGCATTTTTACAGTTAACAATTTCTGTTTTTTTTTTTTCTTTAAGTTTTATGCTATTTGGATTACAGCTATTAAATGTACGAAATTTTTTCCTACTTATTCTATGTGAAGGATTATAATATTTTATTATATTTTTCGTATTTTTATCCTGAAAAAAAAAATTATTAATATTATTTACATAATTTAAATTTAAAATATGATGCAAATTATCATGGGAAGGGATGATATTTATACATGTTTAAAATGTTAATTTATTAAATAAAAATACACGTATAGAATTGTTTTTGTTTTTTAAGTTAAATTTATATGCGAACATAAATGATTATCATATATATATTGTAATTAAAAAAGAAAAATTATATAAAAAAATTTATATAATTTTTAACTTATTTAAATTTATTTTATATATATATATATTTTTTTTTTTTTTTACCATATTATTATTATAATACATATCAAATGATTTTATGTATTCCATAATATTTATGTTTTTTATATTATTATAAGGATCATTTACAGTTTTACATATATATTCATATAGTTGACTATTTATAATGCTACTATCATTTTTTAAAAGCATATTTATTTCTTCTTCTTCATTATCTTTTTCTTTTACTTCAAATTCTTTTAACTTTAAATTATTTTTTTCTTCTTCTATGTATTTATTAATATTTGGTTGAAAAGTGCATGATCTTAATTCATCAAAAAATTCTTTGTAATTTAATATATTAGAATCCTTTTCCAAAAATGCTTTTAAAATTCGTAATGGATCATGAACTTTTTTTTTATATTTTTTTGAATATGTTTTGATCTTTTTCGTTGTATTTTTATATTTTAATAAAGTTGTGTTGTTTTCCTTTTCACTTGAGTCTTTTGTTCTAGGATTTTTTGTTAATTCCATTATGCTATTATGAATTATATCATTTATTGCATTTTCATTTTGTATAACATCATAATCTTCCTTAAGTAACAGATTATTTTTTTTTTTTTTTGGATAATTGTTTTTTAATCTATAATGTATTTTATTTATATCATTTGATTTTTTCAAATGAAAATTTGAGTTATTATCTATGTTAGAAACTTTAGAAAAAAAATTTTGTTCTGTATTTAAAATTTTTTCTTTGTTTTCTGATATTTGCAAAATTGACTTTAAAATAACATTATTATTTTCCGAATCTAATAATTTTTCATTTATTATAATTTCTCTTATTATTTTAAAAAATACTTTTTTTGACGTAATAAGCATTTGTCTTTCTTCTGTTAACTCATTTTCTTTATCATAATTTATTAATAAACATAAATTATTTTCATTAGCTATTCTTTTTAACTCGCTTAAATTTTTATGAGTTTTATTCTTTAAATTTATATTCTTTTCAAAAAATCCATTTTTTATACTACTAATGCTTTCGGAATATGATATGAAATGTGGCAAAACATAATTTATAAAATTTTTTTTCTCTTCTTTTGTCAAATTACTATAAATTTGATCGTTAAATAAATCTAATGAGTTTTCTTTTTCAACATTTATTACATCCCATAAGTTGGTAGCTATTTCATATAATATATTTTTATCAAAGAAATTTAATTTTTTATTAATGCTTTTCGTTTCTTTTTCTCTTTCTATTTTTCTTTTCAAGAAGCATTTATTACAACTATCCTCTAACCAGTCGTCATTATTTTTTACTTTGTTTATAAAGCTTATTTTTTCTTGTTCTTTATATTTAGGATTTCTTCTTAATTGAATTTTATTTTTACATAAATATGATTCATTTGTTATATAAATTTTATCATTTCTTTCAAAATTGCATCTTATAGTATCAAAATTATTAATATTTTCATATGTTGAATTTTGTCTGTTTTTCTTTGAAAAATTAATCATAATAATAATATAAAAAGAATAATAAAAAATTTTAATTCTCTACAATATTTTAATATTTTAAACTAATTTAACAATCATTTTTTATTATGCAACATACTGTTGTATTGATGTTTACATATACNGAAAAAAAAAAAAAAAAAAAATGAAAAAAAAAGAAAGTACTCATTTTTTAATTATAAATATAGATTAATATGTCTACCTTTAAAATTATATACAACATGTTATTCTTTAAATAAATGTTTTCATATTTGAAATTTTTTTATTTCTTCCAGAACATTAATAGTTCATTTTTAGATGAAAAATGTGCAAAACAAGTGCTATATTAATTATTTTGTAAAAATAAAAAAAATATATTTTTATATGTATATTTTTTTTTTTTTTTTTGTACATACACTATAATATANCTAAAAAAAAAAAAAAAAAAAAAAAAGTTATATTTTAAATATTTCCACAAATTTATTCTCCTCAATTAAGTACTATATTAATATACATTTCTCTCTATTTTTTCCTTAATTTTTTGTTTTGAATTCAAATTACCAATTAAATATATTAGAACTAAAAAATAAATAAAATGAAATAAAATAAAATATATAAATAATCGTTAGTAATTAAATGAAATATATTTATATTTAATGTGTATGTGATATTAAACAAAAACATAATAGAAAAGTTAAAAAAATGAATATTAATTATTTTTTTATATATTATTCATTTTCTAAACTATTGGTTCATTAATACTTTATATGTTAAAATTATATTTATCTTAATAAAAATTTTTTATTTAATATAGAATGAAATCATATCATCATTTAATATTATTTTTTTTTTTTTTTTGTTTAATAGAACTACAGTTATTTAATATTTTATATTGTTAAATACCCATTTGCACAATATTTAAATAAAAAACAAAGTTTTAAAAATAAAAATATATAAAATAAAATCTATAGATAAATATAAGGCAAGTTGTTAAAATAAGTATGATCTCAAACAAGGTAAATTTATTCTTAAAAGGAAATTAAATTAATCATAATTATATAAACTATTCAATATATTTTATATATTATATAATTTACTTAATGTATATATATATATATATGGACATTTCGTCTTTTTTTTAAATTGCTTCGTTTAGGATAAATTCGCTTAATAATCGTACACCAAAACCTTTTGGTTTTCTACATTTAAAATTCCATGAAACACCGGCAATATCAATATGTGCCCAAGGTGTACTTTGAACAAATTCTTTCAAAAATAATGAAGCAACAATAGAAGATGCTTTAACACTTTGTGAGATATTATTTAGGTCAGCATATTTGGAATTTAAAGAAGATCTATATTCATTTATAATAGGTAGCCACCAAAGGGGTTCATTAGATGTTTTGGAAGAATTTAATAATTTATTAATTAATTCTTCATTAGTACCAAAAACTCCAGCATAACTTGTACCTAATGAATAAAGCATTGCACCTGTTAATGTAGCTATGTCAATAATATAATCAACTCCTAACTTTTCTGCATATACTAATGCATCTGCTAAAGTTAATCTACCTTCTGCATCTGTGTTTCCTACTTCTATGGTTTTTCCGTTTGAAGCTGTTATAATATCACCAGGTCTATAAGAATTTTTTGATACCATATTTTCACAAACAGCACTTATAAAGTGAACTTCCACATTTTCTGGTTTTATAGTTCCTATACAGTAGGCACAACCTAAAACTGCCGCACAACCACTCATATCATATTTCATTAAATCTATCATAGATCCTGGTGATGCTTTTATATTATATCCTCCAGAATCAAAAGTAATACCTTTACCTACTAAAGCAACTTTTTTTTTAATCTCTCCATTTCCTTTATAGGTTAAATGAATAAATCGATTAGGATACATACTTCCTTTTCCTACTGACAAATATGCTCCCATTTTTAATTCTTCTATTTCCTTTATACCTAAAATTTTGTGTTGTAAATTTAACTTTTCTGCTAATTCTACTGCTGCATTAGCTAGTGATACAGGATTACAGTAATTAGATGGTGCTGCTATAAGTTGAGAAGCATAATAAGTACCAGAATAATAGATACGTGATTTCTCTACTTCTTCATTATATGACTTTGCATTGGCTATATGTAATGTTAAATACTTAATATAATCTGTGCACAAAGTTTTATCTGTTGATTTAAATCTCTCATCAGTCATGTATTCATAAAATAAATTTTCCAAAAAAAAACGAAATAAACTTTCTTGAAGCTTTATTTCAAATATTAAAGATACTTTTGAAATTTTATATTCTTGAAGTATAGGAACTAATGATGCTACAATTCTTCTGATATCAGCCTCTGATAATTCATTAACAGATCCACATCCAATGAAAGCCATATTAACATATTCCCTCTTATCATTTAAAATACAAAACATTTTTGATGTACCTAATTTTGCATTAAAACGTTCTACACTTTCCTGTTTTAAAAATTCACTTATATTATTATCTTTTGTTTTTGAATTTATCTTTACTGAAGCATTGTCTTTTCCAGAACTATTTACTAAAAATACTACTAAACTTTCTTCTACATTGAAATTTTCGTTTAAATCCTTTAATTGGATCTCAATATCATGAATAGGTGTATGATAATCTATAGGTATATTAATAGGATCTAAGGATACTACTTGAGGAACAGTACTAGCCATTTTTATATTTATATTTTTATGTGTACAAAAAGTTTTAATGTAAAAAGGGAATGTAATTTTTTTTATATTACTTTTATTAAAAAAGTTAAAATAAAAATTTTTATTTCCTTTATAATTTGTTAAGCTATAGAACCTTTTTGTAATATTTAAATTGTATTTTTTTTTTGGAAATATCAAAAATTTTGAAGAAAAACTTAAAAATTGCATGAGTATATTTTTATTATTAAAGTATGTGAAAAAAAAAAAAAAATGAGTATTAAAAAAAAATAAGGAAAATATTTAAAAAAAAATTATTTTTATTTGTAACCATGCAAAAAAAAATTTTTCACTCTATAGCATTGAGGTCAAAAATAAAATTCATGTACATTTTTTTTTTTTTTTTTTTGGAGAAATAAATATATTTAATAGGTAAAATTATGAAAAAATAAAAATATGAACAAAGATAAATGAAAAATTAAAAATATAATGGAAAAAAAAAATAATGTTGAAGCTGATGGTTTATATTTTATTTACATTTTTTTTATGTTAAAAAGTTAAATATGTTAGTCCAAATTATTCCTTTTTTTATAGTATAAATATATTATAAATTTTTACTAACAAAATAACGCATCCTGAAAATTTTTTCTATTTTTTTTTTTGGGATCGTAAAACTTAACTTTAATTAATGAAAAAATGCTACAATATATAAAAATTTTTTTTTTTAATAATTTATCATACTAATATGAATTTATTGTATTTTAATTAACATTGCTTTAATTTCTAATTATGAATCTATAACATATATAATAATTCATATAACATGTTTTTAAACTCTTTTTTGGTTTCATTTTTTTTTTTTTTTGGGAGAGTTTTTTTTCTTGATAAAAAATCAAAAAATTATCATCAATATGTAATACACATTTTTTTTAAGTTCTTAAAATGAGTAGAGTTTTTAATTAATTTTTAATCTTATAATTGTTCATGTTTTTTTTTGTTTTTTTTTTTTTTTTGTAGAAATATAAAATATAATTTATTTTCCAGTTTTAAGTTGATGTTATTTGTATGTATATAAAAAATTTTTACACATACACAAAGTGTAAAAAGTAAAAATTTTTTATAATATACTTGAGATAATAATGTTTAAAAATTTTTAATATTTTTATGAATTTTTTTTACTACGTGTTTGATATACTTTATCGTTTTTCTTTTATTTCAACTTAAGGAATTCAAAATTAAAAATGTACACCAAATTTATCTACATTGAATATTTATGGAGATAATTTTAATGATTTTTATAATTTCTTATAAAATTCATTTTATGCATATATTTCTTTTTTTTTTTTTTTTTTTGCACAAAATATGAAAAAATTATCAAAGGTTAAGAAGAAAAAAGAAAAAGAAAAAAACATAAAAATTCTTCATTCTTTTTATTTTTTTGTTATTTTACACATTTTAAGAACACACAAAATAAAATGAATGCTTTAATATTAAATATTTTTCTTACTTACTTTTATATGATATTTGTCCTGTTCATTCATTCATCTTCAAGGATAAAGACTCCTAATGTGTTTCCTTTTGAAGTAACTGAACCAAATTATATTCTATTTTCTCCAAATTTTCAATATATTGAAGATGTCGAATGTAAAAATGAATGTTTTAAATTTTTAAATAATAATGATGATAAAAATAAAAAAAATAAGAAAGAAAATTTTAACGAAACATACAATAGATATAATATTATAATTGCTAAAATTAAAGAAAATATGAATAAATTTAATAATTTTAATAATAATAAAAATTATTATAAAAATTATAATAAAAATAAATATAATATTAATTTTAATGATTATAGTGAAACCCCAAATTGCAGTAATTTCAATTTTTTTTATAAAAATGTAAAAAATGAGGATGTTGCAAACGTAAATAAATATAGTAGAAATAAATGCAATAATTTTTTTAATAATGATGACATAATAGAAAGTGCATATTTATCAAATGGAAAAATTATAATGAATGAAATGAAAAAAAACAATTTTAGTGGTGAATTAAATAGCTTTATTTTAATTTACGAAATATCTACACATAAAATACAGAGGTACCTCAAAAGTATTTTTGATAAAAATTTGTCAAGGAGAAGATTTAATGAATATTATGAGTACAAAATCTATTTATTGAAATGTAAAGGAAAATCAAACGAGTTAAAAAAAGAATCTTATAATAACTTAAGTAATAATTTATATAACAGTAATGAGGAAAAAAAACACATATATCATTCGAAAAACAAGAAAAGAAAAAAGAAAAAAAAGGAAGGAATAATAGATAATCATAAAAATGAAAGAAATGAAGAATTTATAAAAAGTAAAACAAGAAATAATATATTTTATGATCAAAAATGCACTTTATGTATAAACAAAAATTTAGGGAATAATATGATTTTCACAAATATTATTAACAAATGTGCAAAATATAAAATATTATCGCTTGAATTTATTATTTGTCCTATAGAAAAAGATGAGAAGAAATATTCTCTTTTAGTAAGCAAATCTATATTTTCATTATTTATGAAAATTTATCACAGAGAAAAAAATAGTAAAATTTTTATCGATGAAAAAAGAAAGAAAGAAAGCTTTTATGAAAATTCGCATACTTTTGTAAATAAAAAGACAATATGGGTATTTGATTGTTGTAAAAAAGAAGAAATATCGTTAATTTTTTCTTTTGATATTAAGGAACAAGATCTTGCATTAATTTTTCAGGATTGTAATTCACATTTAATTAATAATTCTGATTATATTATTAATGATAAAAAAATATATGAAAATGATGAATATTATAAAGAGGATAAATATATGAGAAAAGATGAGAATATTTTACAAAATTCTTATATATATGATAAAAATCAGGAAATATGTTATAATAATAATAATGATTATTATATAGATAAACTTAAAGACATTTTTTTTCAATCTTGTAAATATAAAAATGAAAAAATATTTAAAAAAAATAAATATTTTCCAAATGTTAATAAAATAAAAAATTTTCATACAAATAATCAGTTAAACAGTAAACATGAGAGAGAAACAGTATTTTCTATAAATAATGAAAAGAAAAATTGTTCAAGTTATGAAAAAGAGAAAAGAACTAAAAAAGAAGAGGGCAATAAATATAATTATCAAATTTATTATAATACTTACAAACATGTCAATATAAAAAGTAAAAAAATGTGGGATAATTTGCATAGTGACATATATTTGAATTATGTGAAAGGTTTTTATTATTTTTACTTTTACATATTTCGTAGAATAAATATATATAAAAATTTATTAAATCATAAATACATAAATGAAGAACAAAATAGCAAATATACATCTATAGATAAACAGGTCAATGTGAATAATAAAACTTCTTTGGAAAATAGCTGCAATTGCAATAAATATAATACAAATTATAATAATAATTTTAATAGTAACAATATTAGTAATAATAATAATTATAATAATTTTAATTGTAATAATGATAAATGTTATAATGGCAATTACTATTATTATAGTTACATTAATTACAGTAAAAATTATTATAAATATGAAATAAATAAAAATTTAGGATTTTTTGATGATATATATATAAATAAAAAACTATTGTTTCCTGTTTTTTCGGTTCATAATAAAAGTTTAATAAGAAATATGAAAAAATACTTAAAGGAAGGAATAAAAATTTCAATATATATTGATCATATGTCACCTGAAATATATAATTGTAATAAATATAAAAAAATAAAATGGGCATTAATAATATTTTTTATACCAGCATGGCTAATAATAAATATTGTTTATATAATATTAGTTCAGAAAATGTGGAGACAGATGCTGAATCCATTGCATAGATTGCTAATATCACCTTCATTGATTCGATTATCCTTTTATATACTTCTATTAACATTTTGTATGCAGTGCCCATATGTTAATAGTAATTGTGTTGAATATACTTTAATGGGATATATGGCTTTAAATACTATGTTTAGTACAATATTTCATGGAAACTTACTCTTAATTAGTAAGGGTTATATGATAACTAGAGGAAATTTTGATAAAAAGGAAAGTATAGGTATAACTTTAATTATTAGCTCTATTTATATATTAACATCGATTAATCAAGTAGATTTAAACAGTAATAATTCCATTTTAATATGTTTATATATTACTTTATTACTTATATTAGTTATTAATATTTTATCAATTATTAAGTTTTTAAAATTAAAATTATCGTTTGTAAGAGATGCTAGAATTCATGCTTGGGAAGAATCAATTAATGTTAAGCTTAATATGTATAAAGCCTATTTAACTGTTGTTGTTATTTTTTTTTGTTTTGAAATAATATTGCATATATTGAGTATGTTATTTAAATCCTTGTCAGGCAATTTAACATTAGTTGAATATACCCTTGAATTAGTTATGTGGTGTTGTGTGTTATATATTTTTAGATATAGGGGAGATGTCTTATATTTTTCATTACTTTATGATAATAGCACTTTGCATATATTACCTTTATATATAGCTAGCACAGATGTTTCTGATATCACTGAAGCAGAAAAAAATGAAATATCTTTAGATTATAATAAACCCATTTTGATTTTAAATCCCTTTGAATACAATAGGAAATATTTTTTATCATGTATCACAATTGGAATTCCATATAATATGGTATACAAAAAAATTGATTTACATAATAAATATAAAACAATACCATTATATAATTTTAGTAGTATTCCCTTTAATTATCATATAGATAACACTTTATATATATCATAATTAGACAGAAATAATAACGTATATGTTGAAAACATGAACTGTTCTTACAACTACTATAACATGGATAATCAAAATAAATTAATGTAATAAAATTTATGAAGATTTTTTTATATGCTACGCATAATGATACATATTAAAAAAAATTTTAAATATAAAATAGGAATATGTTTAATTATATATTGTTTTTAAATTTGATGGATAATAAGTGGTGATGGATTGAAATATAGATACAGTAAACATGAAAATATTTTTATAACCAAACAAAAAAAATTATTTGTTCCACAAAAAAAGTAATATATCTTTAGAGATATATAAAGAATAGCTTAATTTTAATTATAAATCATTAGTGTAAATAATAAATCATAAAGTATAAATAAAATTTATTAACTCATATTATTTTATATTATAAGGAATTAAGTTAAAATTTATTTTATTTAAATATGTATTACATTTGAAATTAATTCAATATTAATTATTTATACAATTTTTTTTTCTTGACATCTGTTTATATTTTTAAAAATAATTACATTTATTTATTCGAAAATAGTTTTTTTTTAAAAATTATAAAATTTTAAATTAAATTCTAATTTGAAAAATATTATATAAAAACTATATATTCATTTAAATGTTAAAATGTTTTTATTTTTTATTTTTATTTTATTTTTTTTTTTTTTTTGTTTTATGATAAAATTTTTTTAATTTATTTAATATTTATAATTTTGAATAACCCTATTTTATTTTACTTTATATAATTATTTCTTTTTCTTTTTTTTTTTTTTTGTTTTATTAATTTATGAAAAGATTTTATTTGTAAAATGTAAAAACTTCCTTAAATATACAATAGTATTTTTATGCTTTTAAGAGAACATCTTATCATATTAAATTTTTTATTCGGTAAAGCATTAAGACATTTTGCAACTCTTATAGAATTTATGTTATTTATTTTTTTTTCTAATTATAATAACACTAACTTTAAATTTTAGAATATTTTCCATAATAGTTGGCTTTTATAATATGATTTTATAAAATTTATTTTAATATGTGTAACATAATTAATGTGTAGCTTTTTTTTTTCTTTTTTTTTAAAAATATTAAAAAATATATGTCTATTAATAAAATGGTAATAATGATTACATATATTATATTGTTAGAATAAATATTTTTCTTTTTAAAAGATATATAATATGCCAATTTAATTAAAGTAAAAAAAAATAAAATAAATTTGATAAAACATAGGATATAATTTATAAAAAGAAGGAAAACTTAATAATTATGAATAAAAAGAGAATTTCTCTTTCCACTAATAAAAAAATTAAAAAAAAAAAAAATCAACGTTTTTAAGTAAAATTAACAAAAAAATATAAATATTTATCTATTTTCATATATATTTAAAATAATTTTTATCATAAAACATTATAAATATATATAGATATATAAAAAAAAATTACTAAAGATAAAAATTTCAGTAAAAGTTTAATTTTATTTTTTTTGAATATATCCTTAAATTATTATTTTATTTATTTTGTATATATTACAATTATTAATAAAAATTAAAAGGAAAGATGCATATATATCTTTTTTTTATAAATGCAGGAAATTATTATTAATTGTAAAATATTAAAAATGTGTTGTAATATATACAAAGTAACAATCAAATGAATTTGTATATATTTTCATAACTGATATATAATTTAATATTACTTAAATTTATATATTTATTTATATTTTTGATTTTCTTATAACATGTGTTTATTGTTTTTATTCTTTATCTTATTCCTTAACTATATTTCTCTGCATAATTAAATTATTCCTTTTATTAAATAGTACATATATGTTGAACATATTATCCTTATAAATATACAAACATATATATATATATAGTAATATAAATAACTCCTGTAAATTTTGTTAGTATATATATATATATGTTTATGATAGTATCTATATAGTAGTTATATTTTTTCTCTTTTTATGAAGAATGCAAATATGTAGACATATAAACTACATCTTCTTTTTTAATTATGCAAGCATCTTCATATTTATCTGAATAAGCAATGGGTATATCTTTTGTACATAAACGAGATGGTACTCTTTTTAAATATGGAGAAAACTTTTCTACTATTTGAGTGTATAATTCCGCACCAATACCTCCAAATCCTGCTGACTCATCTAAAATTAAACATTTTTGAGTTTTTTTCAATGAGTAACCAATAGTTTCCATATCAAATGGTTTTAAAGAAATTAAATCTATAATTTCTACGTCAATGTTAATTTTATTTAATTCTTTTGCAGCTTCCATGGCTATATGTCTTGTAATACCATAACATAATATTGTTAAATCAGTTCCACTTTTTACAACTTCTGCTTTGTCAATAGGTAGTGTATATGGTAAAAGTGGAATTTCTTCTTCTAAATTATATAATAAAACATGTTCTAGAAATAAAACAGGATTATTATCCCTAATAGCCGATTTTAATAATCCTCTAGCATTATAAGGAGTTGAACATGAAACTATTTTTATTCCAGGAATACTCATCAAATATGATTCAATTCTTTGAGAATGTTCTGGACCTAACTGCTTTCCAACTCCTCCTGGTCCTCTTATAACTATGGGAATATTAAATTGTCCATCGCACATATATCTCATCATGCATGCATTATTTGAAATTTGATTAAAAGCTAAAATTAGAAAAGATAAATTCATTCCTTCAATTATTGGTCTTAAACCATTAATAGCAGATCCTATACCTAATCCCATAAAAGCATTTTCACATATTGGTGTGTCTAATACTCTTGCAAAACCAAAAAAATGAGCTAAATTTTTTGTTACCTTATATGAACCTCCATATAAACCTACATCTTCTCCTAACACATAAACATTTTTGTCTTTTTTCATTTCTTCATATACTGCCATATGCAATGCTTCACTTACATTTCTTTTTACTTTTACATTTTTTATTTCATTCATATAATTTTGGTCATTCAATATAACTGAATTTTCTTCTGCTACTATATGTATTCTATTAGTTTCTTTTAAATGTTTATTTTTTATTTTCATTCCATTGGAAAGGTTTTTTAATGAAATAAAATTTAATGAACCACTTTTCTTTTTTGATTTACATTTCAATATTGATGATACCAAAAAAAAAAAAAATACGATATATCTCTTTATTCCTCTCTCCATTATATTTTATTCTATTAATTTTTCTGTTTACAATAAATTTAATATGTATAAAAATAACAATATATTTTTAAAACATCTCAGAAAAGTAATTACAGTGTAATTAATAATATAAATTCAAATATATCAAAGCATCACAACTATAAAAAAAAAAAAAAAAAAAAAAAAATTTAATAATAATTTGGAATAATTTCACAGTAAATGTGCAACTTTATCGAATGTAAATTTAAAATAATTATATGTAAAAGATAAAATAATTAATAATAATGAAATATTTTCTATATAATAAAACATATTATGAGCACAATTTTACAAAGAGATTTAATATATCAAAAATAATTTATAAGTATTGTAACAATATATTATGTGAAAATAAATTACTTTTATAAAAAAATAATGCAAAAAAGGATATTTATTTATGTAATTTCTTTTTAAAATGAATTCTTCTTTATGATATATTTTATTTAAGCAGTGAAAAAAATTATATTTTTAGCAATAATGTTTTCATTTCAATTATACATCAAAATTATATAAAAATGAACAATTACATTATTATATAGAAATGGAAAAAATAAACATAAAAAGTAATTTTTAAAAAATTTTTAAATATTATACAAATTTGCTACATGTATTTTAATAATGCACAAAATAATATTTAGTTTGGATGATTTTTGTTATACAAAAAAAAAAATAAATACATTAAAATGTAAGAAAACTTTTAATTTTTCATATTCAAAAAAGTTAATGTTACTTTTTTTTTTTTTATTCTTTCTGAGTGTAAAATTAGTAAATGAAAAATTAGAGAATAGATAAAAACAATCTTTATATCCTTGTTTTTTACGCTACAACCTTTTATTATGAAAACTTTAATATAATCAATGAATCTTTTTAGTAATTTAAATATTTTGTTTTTTCTTGTAATCGTAGGTTTTTTTTTTTTTTAAATTATTCTTATAAATTATCAATTCCTTAGAATTTAATAAACACATGAATATGGAAAAATTTATGAGCTATTATATTTTAATTGTATGAAATTTATCATTTTTCTCTTTATATATGTTCAAAGAAAAATAATTTTTTAAGAAAGGTAAATGGAATTAAAATGAGCTCACAAATTAATATATCTGAAATTTTATTTTTTCAGAAGTAATGAAAACTTGTATTTAAGATAAAAGAGAAAAAAATTATTCAAAATAACTTGATACATAATTTTTCTCTTTTTATGGCTAATATTAAAAATTAAAAAAAAAAAAAAATCGAAAAATTATGCTTACTACTATGAAATAAAGTAAAATAAATATTCCTATGTAATAAATATTTATAAACCTTATATTTATAATCTGAACCAATTTTTTTTTTTTTATTTTCTTTTTTCTTTGTTCATCTAAGTACATATATATACAAATGATTTTTATAAAAGAAAAAATAAAAAAATATTAATTTTCAAATAAGAAGCGTACTTTAAATTTTTTTAATAAATTTTTTTTAAATTACAGAAAAAAAATCTCTTTTTTTAAAGAAATACATCCGTTTGTTTTTATTGTTATGCGTATATTTTTTTTTTTTTTTTTTATTTCAATATATAAAAATAAAGAAAATAATAAATATAATTCTTATACAAAAAAACTTAATATATTTTAAGTGTGTATAAAATATTTATGAAAAGAAAAATATAAAATTGCATTCATGCTTTGTTTTATGAAATACATTTGTATGTTGATGGTACGCATAAATAAATATAAACATTTTATTTTTTTACAAGAATTTTTTTTATTTTAAATAATAGAGATTTTCAAAATATTTTTTCATTATTAAAACAGAATATATTTATATATATATGTATACTTAAAAATAAAACATAATCATGAAACTTCAATTTATTCGTTAAAATTATTAAAATTATATACATATTAAAAAAAAAAAATATAAAAATTTGACATCATAAAAACAATAAATTTTATTATCAGTAAAAAAGGAAAAACTAAATGGAGAGCTTTAAAAAAAAAGAAATATTTTGAAAAAATTAAAATTTTTCAATTTGTTCATATCTACAAGCTATTTTGTTTATATATGCGTATATTTAAACTATATGAATTTTATATTATCAATAAAAATACATTATATTTTATACTATTTAAAGCTATTTTTATATTTGTATATATTATTGTATATTTATATTTATTACATTTAATAAACGAATCAAAATAGAAAAGATAAGATACAAATTTTATTAAATTTTTTTTTTTTTTTTTTTTTTGAAAAATAATAAAAGAAAAAATTATGTTTAAGAAAAAATCTCCTTAACAAATTTTTTGAATCAAAATATTGAACGATATGATTTTACACAGTAGGAAGAGAAAAAACTATGAAAAGGCTGAAAACAGAAAAGAAAAAACAATTGATAAAGAGATTATTTATGAACAAATTTTTTCTACTCCAAAAAAAAATAAACCAAGATGTTTAGTGGCAGCTGATAATAAAAATAATTTATTAAATTATTTTACGTCCATTTTAAATTTTGAAAATGATGAGAAAGAATTTAAAAAAAAGTGGTATATTCATTTATATAAAATATGTTTATATAATGAGAGATTATATGTAAATAATAACAAAGATAAAAATTCAGATAAAGAATCTTCAGATTATAATATAGAAGAGGTTTTAACTAAGCTGCAATATTTAATAGAAAGGAAACTAGACTGCGAGAACTTATATTATCAAAAAATATTAATAACTATCTGCTTATTATTTGACTATTTTCAAAATAAAAAAAATACGAATATAAAAAAACTTAAAAGCTTAGAAGAAAATGAAGAAAAAAGAAAGATAGAAAGTTGTTATGACATGACGTCAAAACAGAACAAAGAATCCAAAAAAAGATCATTAACATCAGCTGTTTATTCTAACAATATTGATGATGATGATGAAACACATAAAGAAGAAATAGAAAACGTTAAAAATAAAGAAGAAATTAAAAAAGAAAAGGAAGATTTGAATTTTCATAAAAATTATTATATAATAGAATTTAAAAATATATTATATAATGAAAAGAAAAAATTTAATAATTTAGAAATTTTCTATCATATAACCAATTTTATTATACATAAATATTGGTATTCGCAGGAATATTCTCATTATAATATTTTCATTTGGTTTCTAAATTATATGAACAGTAAATTAGACGTTAAAAAAGCAATAAGTAAGATAAACGAACATTTAGAAGTTTTTATTAATTTGCATCCCAAAGTTTTTAATATTTCTCATGCTAAAAAAAAAAGAAAAAAAAATGTCCAGTATCATAATACTAGTAGTAGTCATTATTTTGAAAATGGTGTTTTAGATTATCCATTTGTTAAAAATAGATTTAAGCAAACAGGAGGAGGATTTTCTGATTTAGCTGATTTAGAGAAAAAAAATAAGCAAAATATTGAAAATTTGAATAAAATAAATAATTTTAGTAATTTTCAGAGTTCTACTAATTCCTTTTTTAATAATACTATGACAAATATGAAAAATGCTAATAATTCCTCATTAAATAATTTTAATTCTTCATTTAAAGGATTTGATCAGAACAATAATATATTTAATAATAAAAATACAGAAAATAGTTTATTTAAAAAAAATATTAATTCTAGTTCTTTATTTGGAAATACATTAAATAATAATCAGTCAAATAATAACTTAATACCAAATTATAGAGCAGGGTTTTCTAATGATTTAAATGCACAAAATATGAACAATTTTAACTTATCAATGAACAAGACAAATAATGTTTCTCCAGCAAATATTTTTAATGTTAAGAATAACTTAAATAATAATTTAGAGAATAGTGCTAATTCTAACCTTAATTTATTAGACAATTCACAGAATAAAAATGTAAGCATTTTCGGGTTGAAAAATAACACTAGTTTAAATATATCAAATGTAAATGCATCTAATAATAATTTTTTTGGCTTTAATAAAACTGGTTTTAATACGTTATTTGGAAATGCTAGTAACAATGATAAAAATATTTACTCTCTTAATAATAGTCAGAAAAATAGTATTTTTGAAAATAAGCAAATAAACAGTTTAGATAAAAATAAAGATTTATTAAATGCTTCTCAATCAAATACTACTACTTCAATTTTTAGTCCAAAAAATAAAGAGGAAACACCTTTTTCATTATTATCAGGAAATAGAATAAATAGTAATATGAATAATTCTAGCATTTCATTAAATTCCAAATCAATTTTTGATAATAATGTGAATACTTCAAAACCAAATATTTTTTCAAATAGCAAAACAGATGATTCAATTTTTAGCAAAAACAGTTCAGGTCATGTAAATATTTTTGGGAATCAAATGAATGGAATGCAACAAAGTCCATTTAGTAAATCAACAAGCAATTATAATAATAATAATATATTAAATACAAATAACAATAATTTATCGAATAATTTAAATAATAATATGAGCAATAATTTATCTCAAGTTAATTCAACAACTCAATCTTTTAACCCTCTAAACAAAGCACAAAATGAAAACCAACTTGCTACCCTTTTTAATAATGAAAATGGTTCAAAAGAATTATTTAAAGACTTAAAGTTTTCTAATGATAATGGACCAAAATTTAGCGTTAATAAAAAACCTTTATTTTCTAGAAGAACAAAAAATACTCTTTTATCTTCTAATACTCTAAATCAAGAGAATAATATATTTAGTTCTTCATATATAAGTAAAGATAATTTATTAAATAGTCAAGATAAACCACTTAAAGTAATATTCGGACAAAATAATAATAATAATAATAACATATCTTCTACAAATAATACTATATTCAGTACACCATCAAATAATAATATATCTGGTAATACAAATAAAAATATATTTAATCAAAATTGTAATATGTTAAAAAGTACAAATCAAAGTATTTTTGGTACAATAACAAATAATAGTAGCAATAACAATAATAGTCATTTTGGAAATAATATTTTTTTTAATGGAAATGACATTAATAAAGGTGAAATTAATAAATCACAAAATTTAAGTATTCCTGTAAAAAAATTAACATTAGAAGAAAGAAAAAAAAAAACAATTAAAAATAATATGCTATCATTATTTTCAAATAACAATAATTCAAATGATTCCCATAATGTAGATTCATCATTGGCAACCACTTCAAAAAATATTATAAGTGCAAATAACACTAATAGCTCATCTCTTTTTAATTTTAATCCATCGAATAATAATACTATGACTTTATTCAATTTAAATAAAAATGACAATTTTAATACAAATAATAAACAACAAAATACAAATGATAGCAAAATAATATTTGGATCTAACAATAATTTGTTAGGATGCCAAAAGAACAAAAATAATGATAACGAAAAAAATATATTATCTAACAATTCTGAAAATAATAATATAAAAAACAATTTATTTCTTGGTAAAACATTTAAAGAAGAAACAGAGAAAGAAAAAATTAAAGAGAAAGAAAAAGATAATAATTGTGAACTTAAAACAAAGAATATATTTGGATTTGTTGAAAAAGATCAAAAAAAAAGTAATACAAGAATAGATACAAAAACTCTCTTAATGAATATAGATAAAGATTCTCCTAATTATAAACTCAAAAACAACAAATTAGAACAAAATGGTGATTCATTATCAAAAGATGATAAAAATACTTTTAAAGGATTTAATAATATACATCAGAATGACTCTGAAACAAATGTTAAAAAGATAAAAGATGATGAAAAAGATAAAAGTAAAACATCAATTTTTGGTCTTAATAATAAAGAGGAAGAAAAAAATAAAACATCAATTTTTGGTATTAATAATAAAGAGGAAGAAAAAAATAAAACATCAATTTTTGGTCTTAATAAAGAAGAAAAAGAAAAGGATAATAAAACATCAATTTTTGGTTTTAATAATAAAGAGGAAGAAAAAAATAAAACATCAATTTTTGGTCTTAATAATAAAGAGGAAGAGAAAAATAAAACATCAATTTTTGGTCTTAATAAAGAAGAAAAAGAAAAGGATAATAAAACATCAATTTTTGGTTTTAATAATAAAGAGGAAGAGAAAAATAAAACATCAATTTTTGGTGTTAATAATAAAGAGGAAGAGAAAAATAAAACATCAATTTTTGGTGTTAATAATAAAGAGGAAGAAAAAAATAAAACATCAATTTTTGGTCTTAATAATAATAAAGAAGAAAAGGATAATAAAACATCAATTTTTGGTCTTAATAAAGAAGAAAAAGAAAAGGATAATAAAACATCAATTTTTGGTTTTAATAAAGAAGAAAAAGAAAAGGATAATAAAACATCAATTTTTGGTCTTAATAACAAAGAGGAAGAAAAAAATAAAACATCAATTTTTGGTCTTAATAAAGAAGAAAAAGAAAATTATATTTCTAAATCTGATGAAAGTTTATTTGCAATGAATAACAATAATAATGTTACTTTAAATATGAAAGACTTAGATGAAAATAAGACAAGAGATAATATAAATTATGATGATGTAAAAAATAGAAAACGAAGGAGAAATTTTGATATTGATGAAGTGGATAATGCCTTTATTAATGATGAAAAGAAAGACAAAATTGTTAACTCAGAAACAATATTATTTGACAAAGAATCAAAATTAAATGAAAAAAGTGATTTAAAAGAATTAAATACAAAAAATTTAAATGATAATAATATTCAATCTAATGATAAAAATATGAATAACGATGAAAATATATTTTTTAAAAAAAGTAGAATTGGTAATGCATTAAATGATGCTAAAAATATATTAAACACATTAAAATTTAACAGTTTATCTAGTAATGATATAAATAATGACACTTTTAGCGAAAATAAAAAAAATGAGTTAATGAATGAAAAAAGCTTAACAACTAAGGATACTAATTTAACTGGAATAAATGTTTTAAATGCAAATGATGAAACACATAAAGATATATATAATACAATTTTAAGTAATGATGATAAATGTTTTAATAATAATAAAATCAATAATCTTAAAAATAATGATTTTAATTTAAAACAAAATCCAATCGAAGATTTCAATTGCACGAAGAAAAATGTAAATATAGAAAAAATGAAGGAGAGTTCTATTAATAATAACTTAAATTTAAAAAATCTAGAAAGTAACAAAATAGAAACAGAGAAAAGTACTATGTTACAAGTGAACTGTAATTTAAAAAATCATATCAACGAAAACATGATAAATATAAATCAAAAGGAGAAAACATATCAGGAAAATGAAATGAATAAAATTAGAGTTATGAAAAGACAAAGAGAAGATATATTAGATGATGATGAAAAAATACTTATGCATGAATATTTAATACACGAAAAAAGTAGTTTGAACGATATAAAAAATGCAAGAAAGGAAAATATTTTTACTTACAAAAAAACTATTGATAGAATAGTTGAATATAACAAAAAAATTTCTTTTGATAACATTGAAGTAGATTTAGATAAAGATATGTTAGATATACAAGATTTAAAACAAAATTTATTATTATGTGCTTTGAATTTTCATTTGAATTATTGGGCAGAAAAAGTTATTTTATTTTATCCACATAATGAAAAAATAAACAAATTTTGCAACAAATTAATTAAAATTAAAAATGAATTTGATGAAACATATAATTTCACCTTATTTGAGCAAATACATGAATTATCAAAAAAATTATTAAAATCTTTAGATAAAAATTGTTGTATTTATGAAAGTGTTTTGTTTTTATCAACAGAAAACATAAATGTGTTAAAAAATGTGAAACTTTCCTTATTTGACGCATTTAACATTTATCATTTTTGGTATCAAAAAAATAGTGGTGATATAAAAAAAAATTTTCAGAATTTTATGTATACTAATAAAATTTATCCTTGTTACATAAATTATTATATGGATTTATATAAAAATAATAAATCTTTTAATTATAAATATTCAGATTTAAAGCAAAAATTTAATCAAGAAAAAAGTAAAAAGAGAAAAAAAAAAAAAAACACAAAAATCAATGTATTCTCTTTATATTCATCTCCAAGTTTTCATAATGATTATTATACACCATATTCAAATTATAAATCAGTTATAACAAATTTAAAACGTAAGAAAAAAATAATAGAACAATCTAAAAATGATTTTTCTTATTATAGTAATGTAAGTTGTGATATATACAAAAATAATAATAAAGATAAAAAACGAAGATATGATGGAAATATAGGGAATAAAAAAGATGAAGATGAACTTGAAGAAAAAAAGGAAAATGAGTATAAGAATATTGATGAACATGAAAATAAAGAAGAAGAAGAAGAAAAAGAAGAAGAAGAGGAAGAAGAGGATGAAGAAGAAGAAGAAGAGGAAGAAGAGGAAGAAGAAGAAGAAGAAGAAGAGGAAGAAGAAGAAGAAGAAGAGGAAGAAGAAGAAGAAGAGGATGAAGATGAACAACCAAAAAATAAAGATAAAAAGAAAAAAACAGATGAAGATGAAATTCATTTAAAAGAAAATAGTTTAATAAATGTTTTAAATTCTAATAGTAGTGATATATCTGATGTATTAGATAATAATTACAAAGATGAACCATTGAATATAAATATAAAAGAAAAGTACATATATTTTGCAAAAGTGAAAAGTAGAAAAAGTAAATTTCAATTACCTTCTCATATAAAAATAAAAAAGCTAAGTGTTTGTGAATGTATCCTATTAGAACTAATGTTAAAAAATAATATTTTAAATGTATTAAAAAAATATAAAATTTTTAAAATGGAAAAATATGAGTATTTGTATATTAATTTATTAGCAATGTTAAAGCATTATAACTATTTTACAATGGATAAAGTAGAAAATGTGAATGATAAGAAGAAAACAAATAATTTTTCAAATTTGAATGAAACAGATAATAATGTGAAAAAAAGTGTTGATAATTTGGAAGTAAATTCTATGAATTCAAAAAATGAGAAAATTAATATTTTAAAGAAACTTTGTGATAAAAATTTGTTATATTATTTAAATATTCAATTAAAGAATATATCTCACTTAATGACTTATAATGAAATTGAAATAGCATGTGCTTTTTTAAATCACATAAAAAACAATTTATATGTTATGTTTCAAATGCCTATATTATTATTTAATGTATTATTTGACAAAATTATACATTCTTATAATGATTATATTATTTTAGAAAAATTTTTTAATAATTCCTATTTATTTAATGATTTCAGATATGAATATATTTTTAAAACAAAAATAGCCTATATGCTTTTCAAAAAGTTTTATTCCATGAATGACATAGAAAATTCGATAAAATTTGCTTTATATTTTGAACGTTACAGGGCAAAAGCACAAAAAAATAATATATATAATGATTATATATTTCATAAAAATCTAATTAACTCATATATACAAATTCATGAAAATATAATCCCATCAGAATGGATAAATTTACAAAAATCCAATGGGGAATTAAATAATTTAAATGATTCAGAATATTTAGATTATTATTCATTCTTTTTTAAAGACATATCAAAATATATAAAATTTAATATTATAGAAAAAATAATAAGCTTTAATATTTTTAGTTTACACAAAGAAGATTATAATACTAAAATTAAAGCAAGTGTTAATAATGAAGAAAGAAAATTTTCATGTTATTTTCTTTATATGGTTAATAAATCTCTTTTAGATGATATAGTTAATATATATTCATTGAAAGGAGAATATTTTTATAAAAGAATTTCAACTAGTTTGATAAATCATACATTAGTAAAAGATTATGAGAAAATTCATAACAAACACTTTCATTTATTTGTTCAAGTGGCAGATATAAATGATTTTATGAAAATACACTTTTTTGAATACATTAATTTCTTTAAGAAAAAAGAACTTTATCATATAGATAAAACAAAAAATGAGGATCAAATCATGGATAACTTAGTTAATGTAATAAAAGTAAATGGTAAAAAAGTAAATGAAGTAATTAATACACTAGTAGAAATAATAATGAAAATAGAAAAAAAAATTATAAATGATATTAATATTTACATAATTATAAATTTGAGAAATGTAATCATAGATACTTTATATTTATTTAAATATATTTTCAATAACAAAGAATTTTCATTAAATATTGTTGAAGATTTATATAGAAATTTATTAGAATTTAATAATATTATATATTCCACTTTTTCTGATGATTCTCATATTTATCCGAAAGAACAAATCAAAAAATTGTTTACATCTATAAAGCATAAATTTACTAATCAGCATTTAATAAATTGAATATGTAATGTTAAAAATATATTTTATATTTCTTTTAAACATTGATTTTTTTTTTTTTTTTTTTTATAATTCATAAGATTTATATAATTACAAACTATATGTTTATATTTATATATGTCATTAGCTTTTTCTTTCTTTTATTATTCAATTTTTTATGTTAATATTTCACGAAATTCTTAATACATGTAAAATATGTTTTTTTAAATTATCAAAAAATTTTATTTAAAAAAAAAAAAAGAAAAATAAAATAATGGAATATTTCATTTTTAATGAAAATAGAAAATAAGAAAATTTAGAAAAATTTATATAATGAAAAATATTTATATAAGAATGTAGAATATTCAATATACTGAATACCTTACAAAAGTGCTTTCGTTATTGTATTTTTTCTTTAAAAAGTATATTTATATCTATATATATTTGTAAATATGCAAAAATACAAACATAAAAATAAATTACTAAAAAAAGAAAAAAATTGTAATTACTGGTATCCCTTATACATTTATGCGGCTTATATAATTTAATTGAATATATATATATATATAATATTAACTTATAATGTAGTAAATAGTGATACAATAAATAAGTTCCATTCATTAATGTAGTAATTACAACTGCCACAAAATGTATATAGATACTATCATATTATAAGTATGACTTATAATCAAATAAATCTATAAATTATACAATTTCTGCATATAACAATAATAAAACAAAAATTAATCTGAAATTATTTGAAATAAATAAAGTTTATCAAAAAAAAAATGTTAAGGATTTTAAAAGAATATATATATATATATATATATATGCACATAAAAAACTGAATTTTTTTTTTTTTTTTTTTTTGTTATATAATTAAAATAATACTTTTACAAAAAATTTTTTTTTGTCATTATTGTATAAAAGTCTTCAAAAGAAATTTCTCCTTCACCTTTAGAATCAGCACGATCTATCATGTCTCTTAATTCTTCATCAGTCAATGTTTCTCCTAATTCTTTTGCAACTCTTTTTAAATTTTTTAATGAAATGGTGCCTGTTTTATCATCATCAAATAAATTAAATATTCTTTGAATACCTTCTCTAGTGTCTTTATTTCCCTATTTAAATAAGATAAAAAAAAAAAAATTATTTTAAAAAAAACAGTTTACGATAAATTTTATTTCAAAAGCAGATTAAACAAAAAAAGAAAAAAAAAAAAATTTAAAATAATAAAAAAATATTACTAATTTTGATGTTATAACTTCCATAAACTCTTCAAAATCAATTGTTGAATAACCGTCTTTTTCTAAATCTGCTATCATTCTAAATATCATTGGATTTTTTACATCTAAACCTAAACTTTGCATAGCACATTTTATTTCTTTGGGATCTATTGTACCTTTAATATTAAAAAAAAAAAAAAAATAAATAAAATTAGAAATAAAAATATTAATAAATTATAAAAAAAAAACTTATGAAACAATGAAAAACATAGATAATAAAAAAAAAAATAAAATAATAATAAGAAGAAGAATAAGAATATGAATAAGAATAATAAATTATATCATAAATAATATATTATTTATATACCAGTTCCATCAGTATCTAATAAATTAAAAGCTTCTCTTATTTCTTCAATTTCATCTTCTGTGAAACCAGGTCTTTCCGTAAAACTTTTTTCATATCTTCTTCTTACTGAAGTATTTTCCGTCATTATTTAATCACGTGATAATTCTTTTCTTCTTAAAAATTATATATTAGCTTTTTTTTTTTTTTTTTATTTTTTTTTTTTTCCTTATATTTTTAAAATTCTTTTCACTAATACTATAATGTATTAAGTATATAAATATTTTAATATGTCCTAACTAAATATAATATTTATTTTTAAATATTCTGTCTATCTCTAAACTTTTTTTTTTTTTATTAAATAGTCATATATAATAATTTAACATTCTAATTATTCAATATTTAATGAAACTACATCATATTCTTGGAAGCAAAAATATAATTATTTTTTATATTTCTTAAAAAATTGTTTTATATATATATTTTAATTTTTATATAACTTAATATTTTTATAATTTATTTAAAAAAATTTTAACTAATGAATTTATATTTTACTTTTACACTTTTTATATAATTTTTTAAATTTTATCGCATGTTTTTTTTTTTTTTTTTTTTTTTGTGAAAAAATTCTCCAATATTTAAAAATAAGTGAATTTTTTTTTTTTTTTTTTTTTTATATTTTAAAATTTATATGCCTATTTAAGATATTTTATAATTAATTAAACATATATATATAAATATATTTTAATTTGTTATTCTGTTCACATAAGATAAATCGTAATAACAAAATAAATATTTTAATCTTATAAAATTTTCTCTATTTTTGGGTGTGTAAGAGGCATAACTGCAATTAATGAAATTAAAAATTTTATAAATATATGAAAAAAAGAGAATATAATTTTATTTATTTAGAACTTTAATTCTCATTAATACTTTTATGTTTTGATATTTTTTATGCTATATTAGTACACTTTTTTTTGTTTTAAATACAAATTGCTGATTAATTAAATAACTTTTTCTATATGAAGACTACTAAAATCACATAAAAAGAATTTATGGAGAAAAATATTTTCCTTTTAATATAAATTATAAACATATTTCATCGAATATTTTGTATTGTTAAATATTAATATGAAATACTTAAGTGTATAAAAAAATGGATATAATTTAGTATATTTTTATACCTAAAGAAAAAAAAGACGAAAACTGGAAAACTTGTATATTGAAAATAACATAAAAAAAAAAATTTATATAAATATATAAATGTTCTTAAAAAGCATACTGAGATTATTTTAATATAAAAAAAAGTATTTTTATTACAATAATATTATAAGATATTTTTCAGTTATTTACATTATTATTATTTCTAGTAATAAAGTAGTTTTTATTTTTAACATTATAATTGGTTTAATTTCTTTTAGATTTTGTCAAGCGACTATTTTATAAGTGTTAAATATTAACATGATATATATGAATTTTATTTTTTATTTTGCTACTAATATAAAATTATATACAAAAAAAAAAAAAATATAAATATTTTGCAAATTTTAAAAAATTAACATCTTTTTTTTGTTTATAAAATGGTATATAAAGTAGTTATGTCTTTCTATATATATTTTGAAAAAAAATTAAATATTAAAAATTATCTACATGTATTGGTTTTAAAAATAACGTTTCATATATAATTCTTATTAATAATATAAAATTGAATTCTCCAATATATTCATAAATTACTATTATTAAAGCATTTATATTTCTAATATTACTTTTATTATAATATTTTTTAGGAATTTGATTCAGATTATATTTACAATCTATTATTTTAAAAAGTTCAAACAGCAAAAAAATAAATATCAAAAATTAAATATACAACATAAAAAAATAGTTATAAAAATAATATTAAATTGATTAACTGTTACGCACTTCAATGCATATCTCAAAAAAAAAAAAAAATAAATATATATATATATGAAGGTTCCTTTTTTTTGGTTATAATTTATTATATTCTATTTTTTAGTTACAAATAATAAATATTTTGAAAAAAAAAAAAAAAAAATTTAAAATGTATTTACATAAAGTGAAATATAAAAATAAATTTATTAATTAAAAAAAAAAAAAACAAAAGGATATGAAAAAAAATGGTTCCACAAAATTAAAATGATTCATGATTCTAATTAAAAATATTTCAATGTACAAAAAGGGAATTCATATGTCTAGGAAATTTAAGTAAATGGCCTATAAATAAAAATAAAAAAAATAAAAAAATATAAATATTAATAAAATTATAGAATAAAACTATTGAGCAAGTGATAATAACCAATCATATAAATCGTTATTAAATATAACGAAATAGAGAATTGTTACATGAAAAAAAAGAATTATAGTAAAAAAGAATATAAGTTAATTAAAATAAAATTACCTCTTTAATTAAATATGTTACTTCTGAAATATCTTTACATTTTTTTATATTTTCATTTATATATGATAAAATATTTTGGTCATATGGATTAACTTCTACTTGAACATTTTCTGATTCATAATTATTTATTCTAAATTGCATTATATTTCTTGGTGTCTAAAAATAACGAAAGTTAAAAGTTAATAAAAAGAATAAATAAAAATAAAAAAACATTTTGACATAATTACCGTAAATTCAAAAATAATATAATATGGTGTTTTTTCTATTATTTTTAATGGTGACAATTGGGTAGTTTTCATGTTTCTTTCTATAGTTTTTATGCTGAAAAAAAAAAAAAAAAAAAAAAAAATAGATAATTAAAAAAATAAATATACATAATATTTATTTTGAATAAATTAAAATTTTTTTTTTTGTACCTTTCCTCTAATATTTTAATTCTTTCTTTGCCGTCTAATGCATCAGAAAAATCTATATCTATTTCTTTTCTTTTCTTTTTCATGTAATTATCGTATTTTTCTATTTTTTCGTTTAACTAAAAATTAAAAAAAAAAAAAAAGGAATATTAAAATAAATTTTATATATTTAATCATTTATTTTATTATTTCATATATATACCTTGTTGATTTCCTTTTTAATTTTACTAATAGTTTCATCCATTTCATTATTCTTTAAAGTAAATAAGGTTAAAAATAATTATAATTTTTTTTGTTTAATATTATTATATAATATAAATATAAAAAAAGAAAATAATGAGAACATAATAAATTTTTATAAAAAATATTTTCAAAAGAATAATAATGAGTTATATATTTTATTTACTTTTTTTTTATTTTCTTCAAATGTTTCATCAAATTCCTCCACTTTTTCTTCTAATTCTAATTTTTTTAATCTTTCTTTCTCAAACTCAATTTTTTGATTTCTTTCATTTAACCTTAAAAAGGGAATATAATTATAATAGGAAACATTTACATATTGAAAATTTTATATAATGGAAAAAAAAAAAAAATTTCATTTATGTATATTTAATAAGAGAATAAGTTTCTATCTTAAATTTCCTACCTTAATTTTAAATTCTCTACATGATCAACAAAAAAGGAATCAGCGGAAAACAAAGTGTTAACAGCTTCTATTAAAAAAATAAATTGTTTTTAAAATTATAAATTATAATTTTTACATCATAAAATTATCTTTTGTTTTTTTTAAATTATTTTTATTACCTGATGTATTATTAAATAATAAATCTAACAAATTAGAAATTTCATTTTCTAATTGTTTTACTTTAGGCTTATCATTATATTCTTTACATTGACGAACAAATTTTTCATACGACTCAATTATCAATTCTTGATCATTTTCATTTAAATTCAAATTTCCAAAATTATTTATGTTTTTTATATAATTTATAAATTCATGACACAAATTATATAACGTTTTTATTAAATTTTCGTCAATTTCATCTTCTAAATCATTTTTATTTTCTTTAGTATCTTTTATGAATTCAAAAATCTGATTAAATTTTTGGTAAAAAGGGTAAAATAAATCGTTATTGATATTTGCATCATTAATTCTCATATTATTATTATTATAATTTTTTTCTTCTTTATAGGAATTTAAGTTATTTATATCATTTTTTTTAATAATAACAGACATATTTTCCATTTTTCCTTTTTTTAAATAATACATAAAATTAAATTGAAATATAATTTCACTTTTTTTTATATGTGAATAATTAAAATATTATTTTAAAAAAAATAAAAAAAAAACAAAAAAAAAAATGATTTTGTAAATATAAATTTAATGATAAAACTCTGCAGTTAAAATGTATATTTTTATGCCATAAAAAAAAAAAAATATATATATAAATATATATATATCTATTCCTTTTTAAATATTTATTTTAAATAATTAATATTTTAAAGTATAACAATATAAAATTTAAAATATAATAAACTTTTAAGTTAAATTTCTCATTTTTAAATATTATTCAAATGAGTATGTGAATAAAAAAAATTCTGAAAAATTTACACTTCAAATTCTTTTTTTCTTTAATAATAAAAATATTTTATGTGACAAATTTTATAAACTAATTTTTTCCTTAAAATTACAATATATATTCTATTAAAAAAATTAAAAGTTTAACATTAATAAAAAAAAAAAAATATATATATATTTATATATATAAAATTAAAAGTTTTTAAAGAATAAAATTTATAAGAATGAAATATGATCACTTAAAAAATATTATATAAATTATTTTTAATATGTATAAATAATTATAAAGTTTTTATTTATATAAGATATACAAACATACTCGAAAAATTACGTAAACAAGATATTTTTAAGGAGTAAAATATTCACACAATTTAAAAATAAAAATGAATACATAATAAAAGGTTCTTTATTTTTCTTATAAAAAAAAAAAAAAAAAAATTAAAACTACTAATTAATAAAATAATAAGTATTTTTTTTAGTAGAAGTATCACATATGTGCATTAGTTAATTTTTATTGTAAAACTCTAATACAATAAGACAATATTATAAATTTAATAGTTATTTTGTCTTTTCTTTTTTAGGAGTAATTAAAAAATGATTATTCAAATGAGATAAAAATCTTTTCTTAAGATTAATATATATATATAAACAAGATGAAAAATAGTGGTTATAATTTAATTATTAAAAGACTATATACTCGTAGTGGTGGATTACGAAAACCACAAAAAGTAACTAATGATCCAGAAAGTATTAATAGAAAAGTTTATTGGTGTTTTGAACATAAACCTATTAAAAGGACAATTGTTAATTTAATATTTTCACATAAGGAATTGAAATTTTTCTCTAATTTTTTAAACCATCCAAATGGTGCTAATTTATACTTCTTTAACATAATATTTTCATATTTTTTTATATTTAATCATTTTATTACATTTTTTTTTTTTTTATATTGTTTGTCAGTTGGCGTATCATTAATCCATGAATTATCTTTAGAGGGACCATTCACAGGATTTTTACCATCAAATGAAGCATTAAAGTTAATTAATTCAGAATGTTTAAATAAATTATATAAGGATGATAATAAATTATCTGAATTTGTTTTAAATCATTTTACAAAAGATTTTTGGCTATATAGAGATTTATATGGATCATCATACCAGCCTGTTAGTATAAAATTTTTAATACACATTTTATTTAAATTACTTTTTTTAAAACATATATATATATATATATATTAATAGATACCTTTTAAATACGTATGTATATTATATATTAATCAAAAGAAAAAATATACATAAGCTTTTAAATATTTCTATATAATATTTATTTATAATTTTATATAATCATTTTTACATTTTTGGTTGTGAAATGGTTATATTTATGCTTCCATATTATATTAATTTTGGAAGTAATATTATTATTAGTAAAATAATTTTTATATTTTATATTTATAATTTATTGATATAAATAATAGGAATTTTACAGAATTAATTTTAATTTTCAATGTAAATATATATCCTCATCCTTTTCAAAATTATATGCCCCAAATTTTCAACTACATTTTATTTTTTATTCATTTATACTTTTTTTCTACAGTGGTTAATATATAATGAAAAAAGAGAAGCACCAGAAAAAATCACTAACTTAATGAATAATGATTTAATAGTAAAAATAAAAGGGGAATTTAAAAATTGTGATCATTCAATTTATTTAAACGAATCAAAAATTATCAGACCTAATATGAAATGTCACAATGGTGTAGTTCATATTGTAGATAAGCCAATAATATTTCAATAATAAATAAGAACTATAAGATATATTTTTTTTTTTTTTTTTCAGTACTTTTAAAATCTTCATTTTCATATTTACTTACCTTTTTAGAATAATTCTAATACAATTCTGCTTAATTTGTACAAATTTTTCAAAAAAATTTTAAACTAGTATATGCGTAGGTATATATATATTTCTTTTTTTTTTTTTTTTTTTTTAATAAGATTTAAGGAGCTTTTAATTTTTATTTATTAAAAATATAAATCAACTAAAAAGTTTTTAAAAAAAAAAAAATAAAAAGTAAAAAATTTTAATAACAATGAAATATATAAATTTAATTATTATGATATTTTTATATAAGTATAAAATTAATTGGATTAAAATAATGCCATTACATAATACTTAAAAAAAACAAAAGAAAATAAAATGTTTAATAAATAAAAAGTTATGTATGTTGTATTTAAAAAATAAAAAAAAAAAAAAAAATGTAATTAAAATAATATATTTGATATCATATAATTATTGTAAATTTAATTTAAACTTCCCTCTTAACAACACTTTATGTGCTAGTTCGTCAATTTTTCTTTTAATTGTTATTTCAAAAATATTAGACCAATTTTTACCAGTTACAAATAATACTGGAGTCTCTTCATTTTTGCTTTGAGGGCTTATCGCTATACCGTTTAATACATCATCTATATTTTCATCAATATGTTCCTAAAAAAAATAAAAATATATTCAAATATTTAAATATATATATATATATATATATATATATATATATTTCGAGAAAATAAGTTAAAAAAATGTAGTATAAAAATATGTAAAATATATTATAGGCATATATCAATACAAAAAAATTCATACATAATTATCGCATTTTTTAATTAATCCATCTAAGTTAATTAGTTTGACACATTTTCCTGTTTCAGAATTTATTTCAACTATTAAGTTAGTTAAAAATATATTTGCAAAAATAGTTTTTGAATATGCATAATATTCTAGTTCATTAGTTCGATCAATAATAAAACCTCCACAAGTAATTTTTGTTTTCTTTGATACGTATATTTTTTCTGAATTTTTAAAGTCATCTGGAATTTGAAGTTCATATAAATATTCATCCCCCGTAGTAGCCCATAATTTCTGATTTAAAACAAAATTGTCTTTTCTTAATGCATCAACAGATTGTAATGTATCTACATTAGAAGTTAAACCATAACCATCTAAATCAAATGTAAATGTATGATACAATTCTAAAGATTCATAATCAAAAACAAATATTGTTTTTTCTTTATAAGTTAGATTCAATATCAATTTTTTATATGTCGATGGTTCAATGATGAAAGCGCTTCCTTCTCCAAAATATTGGGGACCAAAATTTGTATATCGTATTGTGTTACCTGAAACTAAATCGAATTCCCTTAAAAAACTTGATTTATATAATCCTACTGACTCAATTAATCTGTTTTTATCTGAAAAAAAAAAACCCTGGGTAAATGGGTGAACTTTTTCAGATGACGTTTCAATTTTTGGATCTATTTTTATTTCCTTTCCAACTGAAGGGTCATGAATATGCTTATATTTATTTAGTACTTCATACGTATGTGTGTTAATAACATATGAAAATATATCACTAGTTTTTATATTTTTAATAATATAATATGTAAATAAAATACCTGCAACTAAAAATAGCATTACCATTAAAATTATAAGGGACACAAACTTTCTAACTAATCTACACAAACACATTTTAAATTATTATACATTAAAAATAGTTTAGTATGATATATCATATATATTTAAATACATATATAAAACAAATAAATAAAATTATATTAATAAAAAAAATAATAAAAAATTATGTTGTATATTTAATTATATCTTGTTCTATCTTTGTCCACACAAAAAAAAAAAAAGGTATATATATATATATATATAGTTATTTAATCTAATACATATTATTTTAATTTTACTTATAAATAAGAGAAAAAAAAATATATATGTGGAAATTACAACCATGCAACACAATTAATAAATGTATGGAGAAATAAAAGAATTTTAAAATAAATATGATTTCTATTTTCTTTCTTAATCATTTTTTTTTTTTTTTTGTTAATAAATATAAAGCACATAAAACATTTGATCCATTTATTTAAACGCTTATTTTCAAAAAAAAAAATTATTGCATGCTTAACTCTTTTTTGCCATTAATATATATTGTAAAGAAAAAATAAAATGTATAAATAAACTCTACTTTCCACTAATTCACTTCATATAAAAACGAATAGACAATTATTTAACTACGGTTGTATATTTAAGAAAAAGTATTTATAATAATGTAATATATTTTTAACCTGAATTTAACTTCAAAGATTCCATAATGGTTATCAGACAAAAGTTTCTTCTTTAAAATTCTTTTATTCGCCATATGTACTAATACTCTTTTAATTTTTTACATTTTGTATCCATTGCTATTTTTTAAAAAAAATAGACATCCTTTGAATATTGATAAAACCAAAAAAAAAAAAAAAAAAATTTATTTAACAGTATTAATTAAATCATGCATATTTCTCTCATATATAAATTAAAAAAAAAAAAAAAAACAAAAAAAAAGTAAACTATTTATAAGAAAATTGTCTTTTATTCTTTTAATCTATTTATAAAAAAAAAAATTACATTAGAAAATAATATAATTACCTCAATTTTTAGTTTATATATTAAAACAATTTGGGTTACAATAATTATTAAATTTTTTATTGAAAAAAAGAATAATTTTATGTACCTAATTTAAGCTAATATTTAATTAAAATAATGATTATAATTAAAAATAGGGAAAAAAAATAAAGTTTCAGATAAACACTGATTTTTAATAAAGTATTTTACAAACTAAAAGTAATTTAAGTTTAAATAAAATATAATTAAATTTTATTTTTTAATTATATAACAGATTCATATTTATATAAATGATAAAATATAGTCTGAAAATTTTGCATTTGGAAATAACAATGGAAAATCCATCAAAACGAAAAATAACAAATGAAAAAAAGAAAAAAAAACATATAAAATGATATCTGTGTTAATATATAGATGCATTTTTTATGAAAAATTATCATAAAAAATTAATTCAATAATCATCAAAATAAGTATATTTTTTTTTAACTTATATATTTACCAAAATATATTTTTAATTTGATATATACTATAATTTAAAAAATAAAATTTTTTTTTTTATATATTTAAGGTGATAAAAGTGGATAATTAGTTAAAAAGGATATATTTTAAAGCTACAATAATTTAAGGAATAAAGAATTCTACATTTTAAAAATGGAAGAATAAAAAAATTTATAAGATGAAACTTATAACGTATGCTGTTTAATAATTCTTTATTCTTTTTAGGAAACATAAAAATATTTTATGTATTTATATGTTTTCCTCTTATTTTATATTAACTCCCAACTGTAACTTAAAATAATTAAAAATCATTTAATCCCTGAATTTTTCTGTTTTTTTTTTTTTTTTCTTTTAATAATTTTGAATTTTTTATTATGAAAAAATATTAAAAAAAAAGAAAAATATATTTAAATGAATAACATATATTTTATTTTATAAATTTTAAATAAATATATGTATTTTTTTTTTTTTTTTTTTAACGCAATTAAATAACACAGGTATTTTTAACTTTATATTTTTTTTTCTATAAAAAAAATAAAAATTTTGAAACGGAGGCAATATTACGTAAAAAAAAAAAAAAAAAAAAAAAAATTAAATTATAAAAATTAAAAGTAAAATAGTATTTTTACGTTATGTAAGAAAAAATACTTTGAATATAAAAAAAATAAAAAAAATAAAATTTAAAGTGAAATAAATAAAAAAAAATATATATAATATAAAATCGAAAATATAAAAATAGTTTTTTTTTTGAAAGAAATAACTTGATATATTTAATATATTAACTGATTATAAACAATGGAAGGTAAAATAATAAATTATTTATATGAAACTTTTTTAATGTTTCTTTTTTTATTACAACTTTATATTATTGAGAAATTATGTACATATAGTTATTTTTATATAAAATAAGTCATATATTTAATATTATTATTTTAAATAAGATGTATAATACTTATTATAATTTTTTTTTTTAACGAAAAGCAGATAGAGGAGGCTTTTCAAAGGGGTTTGGAAGAGGTGTTAGGGGAACAAGAGGTAGAGGAAGAGGAAGAGGAAGGTAAAAAAAAATATATATATATATATATATATATATATATTTAAAAAAAAAGAAAGAGCATTATATAAATTAAAAAATAACATGAAATATTTGTAATTTTTAGAGGAAGAGGTTCAGCAGAAGATGATTTAAAGAATTGGGTACCAGTAACAAAATTAGGAAGATTAGTAAAAGAAGGAAAAATTTCATCTATTGAAGAAATATATTTACATTCTTTACCTATTAAAGAATATCAAATTATTGATTATTTTTTTCAACCAAATGAATGTGCTCATCCATTAAAAGATGACGTTGTTAAAATTATGCCTGTACAAAAACAAACTCGTGCAGGTCAAAGAACAAGATTTAAGGCATTCGTAGCTATTGGAGACGGAAATGGACATTGTGGTTTGGGAGTAAAGTGTGCAAAAGAAGTTGCAACAGCTATCAGAGGTGCAATTATTGCAGCAAAACTTTCTTTAATACCAGTAAGACGTGGATATTGGGGAAATAAGATTGGAGACCCACATACAGTACCTATGAAAGTATCAGGAAAATGTGGAAGTGTTCGTATTCGTTTAGTCCCAGCTCCAAGAGGTACACAAATTGTTGGTGCTCCAACCACAAAAAAAATGTTAAACTTTGCAGGAATTAAAGATTGTTTCTCATCATCATGTGGAAAGACAAAAACTCGAGGAAATTTTTTAAGGGTAATATTATTAAAAAAATAATCCTTTAAACTTATAATTTTTTTACATAAGATTTTTCACATGTATATGCACATTTTTTTGACACTTTTTTTTACTCATTTTAATTGTATATATTATACTTATGAGAATATTATTTTTTTTTATTATTTTATTTAGGCTATTTTTAATGCTTTAAGTAAAACATACGGATATTTAACGCCTGATCTATGGAAAGTAACAAAATTCGATAAATCTCCTTATGAAGAATGGTCAGACTTTTTAGAGACATATCAAAACCTAAAAGGAATTAAAGCTACCGTTTAGTTATAGAAATTAATTACTTCATTATATATTTTAATAATATGGTGTTTTATATGAGCTTATAAGAAAAAATATTATTTTCAACTATAATTTTTCATTTTTGCATACATAAATTAATTCTCGTTATGATTTACTTAATTTTTAAAATAAATAAAAATTATATAAATGAATTTTTTTTTTTTTTTTACAAACAAAATATACTTAAATTTTTATAATTTTAATATATATATATATATATATATATATATATATATATATATATATATATATATATATATATATAAATTTTCAAAAAATAAACGATCTACTACATTTTATTTTAATTTTTTTCATACAATGAACTATAATTAAAAACTCTAGATATTAAAAGTAAAAATTATTCGTCCAAATATTTTAAAAATTTGTAATTTTATTAAGATATACAATAAAATTATTGTATAATAATTTTTTATTTTCATTAATTATCATCTGTAACAATAAAGAAATTAAAAAACACATATAATTTTATGTTAATTTTATTCAAATTATAATTAAAAGGCTTTAAAGATTTGTTATGAAACAATGTGTTCAAACTAAATAACTATATAAATATATATCACTAATGAATATTGGTAAAAAAAAAAGGGAATTTAAATATAAAAAATAAATGTTTCTTTTATAGCCATATAATTTTTTCTTTTTTGTCCTTCAAATAATTGTTAACTTCCTTGGAACATCATTAACTAATTTGTCTTCGTACCAACTTTTCCCTGATTTTTCTATATCATCCCCGTACATTTTACTATAAATTGAAAAAAAAAAAAAAAAAAAAAAACCATTAAAAAATTGGTATAGACAAAAGTGTTGATAATAATTTCTCCTAAATAATAATAATAAAACATATGTTTAAACATAATCTTATATATAAAAAAATTAAAACATAAAAAAAATAAATAAAGTATTGATACATTATATTTTTATTAAATAATGTATTTTAATAAATTAAAATATGCCTTTTTATTTGATATTACTTTGTTTCAAAATTTTTCTTATTTTTTTCTACTATTTTATTTATCTGTTTTATTCTTCTTTTTAGTAATTCTTTAAATTTATCTAAAGAAAAATTATATTACAAATGACAAAATATATAAAAATGTTTTGTTTATAATTTGGTTCAACATCAACTGAATTTCTTTTCAAATTTTCTTTTATATATTTACCTATTTGAACTTCATCTTCACTTGCTTCATGTTCTATCTTTAAGTTAAATGGTTTAATTTCTTCCTTTTGCATAAACGGATTGTCACTCAAATCATTTTCTTTTTCATTTATAAAATTTACTTTCTTTTTTTTTAAAATTCCATTAATTTGCGATTTTTTTTTTTTAATTCTCTTATTTTTTATTGCCATTAGTCACACTTTATATTGATTTAAATCATTTTCTTTTTTTTATTCTCTTGTTTATATTCATATAAAAATTAAGTTTATTTAATAATCTTTTTTCAATATTAAAATATATATAAATTTATATATATATATATAAAATTTATCAGAAAGAAAAAAAAAAAAATGAATGCATTATGTATATTTATTTTTTTTTTTTTTTTTTAACCATTGTTATTTGTTTTATTTTTATATATATTTTTTAGACTATTTTATTTTTGTTTACCTTTACTTTTTTAATTTCATTTAGCTTTATTTTATTCTCATTATTTTTTTTTTTTTTTTTTTGTAAATATATTATTATGTTCATTTTTATTTTATTTTATTTTTTTTTTTTTTTTTCATATTAATCAATTTCAACAAAAATTATATGCATATTTTATTAAAATCTATTTAATTTTTTGGTTTTAAATATGAATACACCTAAAATAAAATAATATTTAAATTAATTATTATTAAAAAAAAAAAAAAAAATGAATGAAACAAATGAATCATTAAAATTTTCAGATTTTACATCGTCCAAATATGGTAATAAAAGATTAAGAATTAATAAAACTGACGATAATATAAAATATTTTGTTTCTCGCTTTAATGATAATTGTGAGATAAACAAGTTAAGTTCACCCATAACATTTATAGTAATTAGAAAATGTTTATATAATTTGCTTAATGAAAAAATTTCTATATATTTCCATGATATATCATTTTAAAATAGATTTTTATTGTATTTTCTTTTTATTTAATGAATAAGTTAAATAATATTTTATAAAAAAATTTTATAATAAAATTATATTAAAACTTATTTCTATTGTTATAATATGTTTTAATTTTTATCTATTTAATTTTATTTTTGATTATTAATATTTTTATATAATTCTTAATATAATTTGTAGTCTAAAGATGAAAATAACTTTGAGAATTCTGTAGAAAATGAAAAAAATAATACATTTCATTGGTTATTAAAAAATTCATCCAATGAAAAAACAAAGATAAATCACAAATCATATATATCTAAAAAATGTAATTTAGATACAGATGTTTTTTTTGCTTTAATTGAAAATGAAGAATATTCAGATATTTATCCTCTCTCCAGTTGGCACGTATTTGAACCAGATCTGTCAGCTAAAACTTTAAATAAATTTAATCCAGATTACCCAAATGAAAAATTGAAAGCTGAAAATAATAATAAAAGATTAGATGATATAATAGAAAGACTGAAAAATAAAGAAGAAAGCACTAAAATAAACAAAAAAGCAAAGGATGAAAATAAGAAAAAAAAAAAAGTATCACAAAGAAGTTCTTCCTCAGATGATGATGATGATGATTTAGGATTGAAAAGACAAGAAAAAAAAAGGTTAAAAAATTTGATAAAATTAAAAAGAGGAGAAAATAAAGAAGAAATTGAATATGTTAATTCAGCTTTGGCCATTACATCTCTTAGAAAAAGTAAAGTCAATTGGGATTATAATGACGATGGAAAAAAGAGTGATGATGAAGATTTAAATGTTGATGATTCTTTTCAAGAAGAATTTGATGATGATGATGATGAAAATGATGATTCAGATAACAATTCAAATAATGATGAATCAAAATTAACATCTTATGGCCAAGCTATGAGATCGTTACTAAAACAACAAGTTAATGATGAAGAAGATGATGAATTAAATCAATATTCCGATGATGATGATGATGATGAAGATATTAGCAAAAAAGAGAAAATGGATATTAAAAAAAAGAAGTTGAAAAATAAAACCAAAAAGAATAATAATAGTGATAGTGATAAAAAGCAAAAATATAAACATAACAAAAAAATAAAAAATGAAGATGATGATGATGATGATGACGATGAGGATGACGATGATGATGATGATGATGACGATGACGATGATGATGACGATGAAGATGATGACGATGATGAAGATGATGATGATGATGATGATGACGACGATGAAGAAGATGAAGACGATGAAGATGAGAAAGAAGAATTAAAAAAGAAATCAGTAAAAAATAAAAAAAATTGTAACTTCAATGACTATATTAAAGAAAAAATTAGAAATAAAGAAATACAAATAAAAGAAGAAAATTGTGCTAAAATTTTATTAAAAATTATTGAAAAAAATAATGGAAAAATGGACATATTGACCTTATTAGATATTTTAAATATTAAAGAGAAAAATCAGAGTTTTCTTCTCGTACAAAAATTTATTAAAAATATATGCAATGTTAGCTCGCAAACAATAAACAATAAAAAAGTAAAAATGATATCCGTTAAACCAAAATATTTGCCAGAATAAGTATTAAAATTATATAGTATTAACAAAAAAAAAAAAAAATGAATAAAAATTTCTTTCTTTATATGCACATATAAATACCTATATTACACTAACATCTATAACAACAATAATAATAATGATATAATAATTTGATTATTTTTTTTTTTTTCTTTCCTTTTTTTGTTATTTTAAATATTTTACTTTCTTTGAGATGTAATATAATATTTTATTTTACTTTTTTTTTTTTTTTAATTTTTTTTATATGTTGTGTAACATTATGAAAAATACCCGATTACTATTTAACTAATTTTCATATTTTATCATCTTATATGTGACAAATACTTTTTTAATATTCCTTAGACTTTTTTATAACAAAATTTTATGTTGTTAAATTCAGGTTTATAATTTATGTAAATAAGGGAATATTAATTTTTTTAACTATTTGAAGATATATTTATCTGACATACATATAAATTAAAGCGTTAAAATTTTTATTTCATTTAATATTTTCCCAACTTTCAAAATAAAATTTTATGATTTTAATAAACATACTTTAATCTTAATTTTTTTTTTTATAGAATCATATATATTATATGAACATATATATTTTTTATTTCTCATTTTTCAACAAAAAAAATATATATATGCAACTCTAGAGAGAAAAATATATAATTATTTTATAAATAAAAGCAAGAGAAGAAATTCAAAAATTATTTCTTTACAAAAAGATTTGTATATAAGAATAAAATAAAAATAATTTTCATTTTATTTTATACAGACATAATAATATAATTTAAATTAAAAAATTTTATTTTTTTTTTTTTTACAATGTAAATATATTTCTAGACTCAAATGAATTCATTTGTTTTTACATTATTTTTAAAAATAAAAAAAACAAATTTGTAAAAATATTAATTTAAAATTTATTTTATATAATATAATTTTTTTTAATTAATTATAATCTAAATATTATTAACATAATTTATTCAATATATACATATATATATATATATGTATATTTTTTTTTTTTTTTTTTTTTAAATTTGAAATGGCAGCAAGAAATCCTGGACCTTATTTGAACCAGGTACCTTTAGGTTTCCCCAGTTATAATAGAAGAGTGTTCAGAGATATTTTGGCTAGAAGAGCTTTTATGGAATCGGAAGTTAATACAAGAATTTACAAAAATATTTTTGAAAATTTAGGTTTTAAAGGGCAGATCAGAATCAATAATAAAGTATGAATATTGTAATATTTTTTTTATAAATAAAAATATATATATATATTTTCTGCAATGTGAAAAATGTAAAAAGTATTAATTTATTTTTAATAAATATAATTATGTGCTTATTTAATTAAGGAATATCAATATATACTAATATTTTAACAATACTACTCTTGATTTTTATAATATGTATTTTTCACTTTTTTTTTTTTTTATTTTCTTCTTTTTTAATTTTTTTTCATTTGTATAATTATTTTGTTTCATAATTTCAGGTTGGCGTTAACAGAATCCGTATGAGGTGTATACAAGGAGGATATTCTAGAGGAATTTATAAATTTACTAGAATGGCAAAAATGGCATTTTTTCAAACTGCCAGAGAAGGGTGGTTAAAAAAATATGGTTATAGACCTGATTTATTTCGATAAATCAAGGATATAATTTTCTTTTTTTTGCAGATAATATATAAATTAATACTTAATAAAAAAGTATTCTATTTGAAATACATAAATATTTTAATTCATTTTATATATTTACTCTTATTATTTCAATTTTTTTACTTTATAATTTAAAATAAATGTTTTTATTTAGTTTCTTTTTTTATGTCTTGAAATTACCGTTACATAAGTTCTTTATAAAAAATGAGTAACAATACAAAATATCTCTATATTTATGAAAGTGAATATTAAAAATTCATTTTATTTTTTTTTAATATCATTTCTTTTTTATTATATTTTTTGTGTTATGATGAAACATAATTTTGTTAATTTTTAATAAGAAAACTTATTCTATAATTTTATCTTTTTTTCTAGTAACAAATAATTTTATTTCATTACAAAATGTTTTTTCCATTTATAATAAAAAAAATAAAATAAAATAAATATCAAATAAAATAAATAAATAAATAATAAATTAAAAATAATAAATAAATGAAAATATAAATATTATGGAAAAAATTATGTAACAATTAACAAGATTTGATACTACATACTTTTGAAGAAGACATCATTAATACCTGAGAGAAAAACCTTCTCATTTTTCCAAATTTTATACTTATTATTTATATTTTTAACAAATTCTATCAAATTAGGCCTTGATATTAAAACGGCTTGCAATTCTTTGTTAACTATAAAAAAGAAAAAAAAAATTATAAAAAATGATCTTATCTGTGTTAGTAAAACTTTTTCTTTTGATTTTTTATATTCTTGTTTTGTTTTTGTTTTACATTTAGAAGGTATAGAATAAAATATTGATAATACAGAAAAGCATACAGAATGGAAATAACAAATATCACTTCTATTTGTTGAATTAACGCTATTACCTATAGTTTCATCTAATATATTTAGTATTGTTTTCAACCTTGTTATATTCTAAGAAGAAAACAGAATATATTTAATTGTAACCAATTACTGTTTTAATATTAATTATAATTATTATAATATATATGTCTACAATTTATAAAAACACATGAATATCAAATTATAATACTAACCAATTTATGGTTATCTAATCCTCTCATTTGGCATTTTTCTAAATTTTCCTTCCTTAATTTTCTTTAATATAAAAAATATAATAATATACAAAAGAAAAATATATATAATACTATAAAAATTATATAAATAAAAAATTAATAAAGTTTTATACCTTATTAAATAAATATAGTATAAATAAAAAAACCTATCTTTATATATTTTTTTTGTAAAGTTATTATAAATATTATCATCAACCCACAAATAATATATCTATAAACAAGTAATTTTATTTATTAGAAAAAAAAAATCATTTATTTAAAACTTTTTTTAAGTATTTATAAAATAAGTTTCTATATTTATATTTATGTCCTATTAGCTAAATTTACCAATATTATATTAAGCTCATTTATTAACCCAATATACATTTCATAATCAGCCAAGTCAAATAAATAAATCTAAAAAATATTATTATAACAAATATAAATATATATATATATATATATATATATATATATTTTTTTTGAAGATATTGATAATATTTATTATAACATTTTTCATATAATCAATAATTTCCGTATCATGTAAAACGTTTCCTTCTAATGTATTAAAAGCGTAAGGGTAAGATCCATTGTTACTATAAGGATGTATTTCTTCCACGAATTGTATTAAAGAACAATTAAAAAAATTTTTGAGGAAAAATAATTGAACGTTTATATAATCTATAAAAATATCACCAATATTATTTATAGAACAATGATGATAATGAACAATTAATCTTTGAGGAATAAACATCTTATATGCTTATTTATTCATTTATTTATCTTTCTTTTGTTTTTTATCATTTGAATCATTAAAGTATCATGTTTAAAAACCATTTTTATACAGTCAAATTTATAATGTTTATTTTTTTTTTTTAATCATAAAATTTTTTATATTTTAAAAAAAAATAAAAAATATAAAAATTTTTGTAAACACATCAAATTTTTTTAAATTTTATACAAGTTATTAAAAACTTCACGCTTTTTTAGTTCAAAATTTTTTTTTTTCTCAATTTTTACATGTTAAAAACTTTAACAAGTTATATAAAATTTAAATAAAAAAAAAATTCCATAGAAGAGTGGTAAACATATCATAGAACTACTACAAAGAATATAAAAAGAAAAAAATTTTAATATACGTATTTATATAAAAAAAACAAATGTATTATAACATTAAATATTCTACTATGTTAATTATATTAAAAATAAATTGTTTTACTGAAATAATCAATTAGAAATTACTAGAAAATTATATTTAAAACATATAAAAAAAAATTGAATTTCATATTAAAAAATGTTCTATATTCATATATGAACTATAATAATTATTTAAAAATGTTTTGTTTATAATAAGTGTCGTACATTCTTCCATAAAATAATTCTAAAATACATATTTTATTCATATTTAATAAATCAATTTAACAATGTTGAAAACGAAAATTTTACTTTTTTTCTAAAGAATTTTAACGTTGACAAAAATACAAATACTAAAAAAAAAAAAAAAAAAAAAAAAGTAATTTTCTTTATGTTTTTATTTATTCACATGTACGTTTTAACTGAGATGAATTTTTTTTTTTTTTTTATTTTGCCATATTTTTAATTATTTAAAAATTAAATGACATATTTTCTTTATTATAATATATATTTTATATATAATATATTTTAAACTACATTAGGAAAATTATATATTTTTTACATTCACCTAACTGTCTAAAACTATTTTAAGAAATTTTTATATATAGAAGATAACTTTTATTTTCCAGGTAGCGTACAAAATATATAAAAAAAGACATATTACAGATTTCTATATATTTAAACTCATGTTATTTTTTTTTTTTTTTTTTCACATATATATAAATAAACAAGCCAAAAAAATATATAACATTTGTTATTATATATTTATGAACAAATAAGGCAACTAAAATTCTCAACGTTAATTTTCAAGATTTTTCTAGCTATAATATTGTGTGCATGCATAAAATTTAATGTCATTATAATTCCAAAAGAAGAATAAATAGCCTTAAACTGCTATGTTAATAATTTTTTCAAACTAATTTTTATTTATATTATACATTATTTTTGTAATAAAAATAGCATTCTATAAAATTTTTAAGCTAATTCATGTTCCTAGACAGGAATTTAACGACATTTTTTAATAGTAAAATTTTAACTTCTTTTTTTCTTTTTTTAAACTATCTTTCTCTTTTTATATTGCTGTTGTAAAAATTTTCGTGAATTTATCTTTAAATATATTTTTTTAATCTGACACCTTAAAACTTTATATCTCCCTACAAAAATTTAAAATTTTTCATTGCTAAATATATGCTTATATTAATATCCAATTCTTGATATAAAAAACTTCTTTTCTTTACATTTTTTTATTTTCTATAGTTCAAATTTCTTTTTTTATAATGAATCTTTTTAAAAAGTCTACATGTTCTATATGTAATGCATGTAAATGCTGCTGTGGTAAAAAATTTAAAATTAAATAAAAATAATAAATATATTTAAGTTTGGATTAAAAATATGTAATTATTTTTCTTCTGCATTTGTATATGTATCATTTTTATCTTTCATGCATATCATACATATATATATAAAAAAAATATATATATACATATTTTGGTTTTATTTAACTCCAGAAAAAGGCGAAATTAAAATTACTGAAAGAACATACACATATAATGAACTAGATGATTTATATAAAAATACAAATACCGTTAGTTTTCCATGTATACCAACTGAACGAATTATTCTAAATTCTTTTGATAATCCTGAATTATATTATCATCAAATAGATAGCGAATTTTATGCAAAAAACATACTAAAAGATGTTCCTCTAATTAGTTATGCACAAGGCCCATTTTTCGAGAGAATGAATGAAATAAGAACAAATAAAAAATATCATCTACCAACGACGAGTTATGTATCTGATCCAATATATATTAGAAGAAAAGAAAAATGTTCCATATCGGGTTTGTCTAGTAGCATTTGCTGCGAAGGCTGCAGATGCAAATAAATTTATATTAATCCTTTTTTTGTAAAAAAAAGGTTCAAAATTTTATTATATAAGAAGATTAGTAATAAATTAAACATTTTTATTTAAAAAAGAAAAAAAATGAGTATACAATTATGTTATTTTGTTTTTATAATCATACTGAGTGTCAAGTTTTTATTTTTATTTTAAAAAAATATAATTTTACTTTTTTTGTATAATTCATTATCTATTTATACATTTTTATTTTATTATACTTTTCTTATTTCATTTTTTTTAAATACCCATTTGCATTAATGGCAAATTTAATGAATTAACTAAAAAATAAAAAAAAAAAAAATAATAAAAAAAAAAAAAGTAAAAATTAAATTAATAACTATACTCAATAAAAGAAAAATAATTAATAAAAAATAAAATAAATAAATAATGTGAAAAATAAAATTGAATCTCCCTAACTATTCCTTTTTTTATGTGTTATTTATGTTATACATAATAGAAACGTCTCATTATTTTTAGCTAGCATTTACTAGCTTGCCATTTTCCAAATGATATCCACAACCAGATATATCAAAATATTTGATTCTAAAAAATGAGAATTTAATAAAAAATTTATGATTAACATATTTTGATAACTATATAAATTATATGAAACAAACATATTTTAATAAAAAATACTTTAATGAGGCATGTTTAATAAAAGTACAACTAGTACATTTTATTTTTTCATATTTTTCAGCTACCCATCCACATCCTACAATGAAATATAATACATATATAATTGTTTTCTTAAAGATATTTCAATAAATTAAATGGTAAATTATAATATTTTTATACATTGTTTTTTATTATTCCCATAACAATTACTACTCACTTTATATAAATAAATAATATTCTTTCATTTAAAAATATATGAATATTTAAAATACCAGTAATTGGATTTTTGCAATCACATTGTTGGCAGTAAGTGCTACCACTGTTAAAATTGCCTCTAAAAGTTCTAATAAAATTATTTTCGCAACCTAAAGTAATATTTGAAAAATAATAATATTGAAACAAATAAAAAATATATATTAAAATGGAAGAAAAAAAGAAGAAAAAATTTTATTAATAATGGAACATTTATTTTGGATAATAAATTTTATAGGTCTTTTTTTTAAATAAGAAAATAATTTCTTTTATTAAAAACCGTCTTCTGTTGGATAGCAACATCTTTGACATATATCAGTTGTACAAATTTGGCAATTTACAGGACTATGAAAAATCCAAATAAATATAATGAATATATAAAATATTGATCGTTCCATTTTTTATTTTTATTCTATTTATATTAAATGTAAAACAAGTTATAAAATATTTTAATAAAATAAAAAAAAAATTGTTATCAAAATATGCATTATTCTTTAAAATTTTATTCAAGATAACGCATTAGACAAGAGAAAATTATACACAAACGTTTTTTATTTTCATAAAAAAAAAAAAAAAAAAAAAAGTTTTTATATTTTTATTGAAATTTAAATATCAACAGAAAATTTTTTAATCCCTTCAATTTAAAAAAAAAAATATATATTTTTTAAATATGTATTTCATAAATACGAAATCAACTTTCACATCATCTAGAGTACAATATTATACGAACTTTAATATTCTAGGAAATTTTTTTTTTTTTAATGTTATTTTAGTATTCCGATTTTTAAAATAATTTTTCTATAATTTAAGAATATTTTGAGAATTCATTTATTTTAATAATTTATTTATATACTTTCAATAAAGAATAAAAAATTAAGTATTATCGTAGAAATAACAATAAAACAGATTTTAACATTTATACTTTTTTATAATTATTTTAATTAAAAAATATTCTTTTGACATAAGTTTTATTTAAAAATATTTATATTATAATTGTAATTCAGTTAAGTAATTTTAAATATGTTTTTCATTTCTCAGTAAAACGATTATATACAATGATAAAAATAGTATTATCTGTATCCAGAACAAAAGAAGTAATTTTCAAAATGTTATAAATGTATGTACATAATTTTTTTTATTATTAAGTTATAAAATTTTATAGATGATATTTTTTCTTTTTAATTAATAAAAATATACAAAAAGAAATAAAAAAAAAAAAAAAAAAAAAAAAAAAAAAAAAAAAAAAAAAAAAAAAAAAAAAAAAAATATAATAATTATAAAAAAAATAAATATAGGAATATATATTTTAAAATTATATGCAACGATATTAAAATTAAATTTTTCTTTTAAAAAAATTTAACTTTAAATATATTCACTATTAAAAATAAAAGTAGATTAATTCTTTTATTTCTTTTTTAATGAAAACACATTAAAATTATTTACAATTTTACTTAAACAGTTTTTTTTCATATAATAATGTGTATTGTATTTATTCTATATTTTATTTATGAAGACAAAAATATTTTTCATATAAAATAGGTTTATTAAAAATAGAAAAAGAATATGGATAAATAAAAGTAAATATAGGAATATATTTTTATATAACTTCCAATAAATTAAAAAATCAAGGAAAAACAAAAGTGAAATAATAATTAACAAAAGCTTTTAAATCTTATATCTTTTTACCATTTTTTTGTTTTCTATAATTTTTTTATTTCTTATTTTCATATTTTTCTATTTTTTTTTTTTTTTTTTTCTTTAAAAATTTTATTAAACTTTTTAGATTCAGCTTATATTTTTCAAATTACCTAAAATATAATAATTCTCATGAATTTTCTTTCTAAAATTGTATTAATGAAAAATCTCTTTTTTTTTTTTTCTAAAAACATAGAGTAATCCTCGTTTCATAAATATTCTTTTTTTCTTGTCAAATTCCAGTAGTTCACAAATTTTTCGAGCATATCTCCTTTTACATTAACTAATATACCACCAATTGATTTCATTTGCCCCATCAAATTTCTTAAATTGCTTACAAATTCTTCATTATTTTCAAATTCTTTTTCTTTTAGAGATTCTGATATATCTTTTTCGTTTAACCATACTATTTTAATTTTATTGTAAATATTGAAACATAAAAGAGCTATGTGAATCAATGGATGAAAAACGGTATGTGGTGAAGTATAGAATTGATTTAATTTTTTATTAATTAAATTAATTTCATATATAAATGCTATTAAGTTACATTTATTTTTTAATATATGATCAGAATTCATAAATATTTCATTTTTCCATAAAAGTATACAAGAACCATTGCTTTTCATAGCTTCAGGAAATATTACAACATTACGAATTTTTTCATTTTTTGCATAATTGTGTACTTCTTCTATATTTTTAAATAATCCCAATTCATTGGGTATAGAAAATTGTAACGATAACTTAAGTATGTCAAAAAAACAAACTGGCGACAAACTTCCATTTTTATTTATTACAATAAATAAGGGATTTAAACGAAATGCTAAATATAAAATATCAACAAAAGACGTAAAATTTGATAAAAATATATGACCATAATCATCATATGTAAATGGAATTTTTTGTTTATTACATTTTATTTTAAGTCTTTTGTTGCTAGCATATTGTTCATCTAAGTAAAAAAATCCTAAATAAAATAATAATAATCTACAGTAAATTGTTTGAATTATTTGATTAAAAAAGTCTTTAACACACTGAAATATAAGCAATTTTAACATGCTATTTAAAAAAAACATAAAAATTAATGTTAAACAAATAAAACACAATCGGCAAATAACTAATGGTAATAATAGTATTTTTAATAGCTTTTCATGAAAATTTAATTTTTTATTAACCCATACAGGTAAAAATGGATTTATTCCTGTTGAACTATCAGAAAATTCTCTATATTTTTCCATTTTTCTGACATAATTTTAATTTTCAATAATTCTTTTTTTTTTTTTTTTTTCCTTTATATATACAATAATTTAATATTATTATATTTTTTTTTTATTCATATTTATCCATAATAAAAATGTTAAAAACTGTATTTTTATTCGCTAATCTTGCCTCCTCCCTTTTTTTTTAACTCTTGTTTGTCAATTTTTTTATTATTTTTTATTTTAACACTTTTAATTTTATTTTAATTGATTTTAGTTTTTGAATTGATTTAATTTTCCCTTTTATACGTATTTATTTATTTATTCATTTATTTATTCATTTATTTGAGTATTTGATCGTGTATTTTATTTTATTATATTTCATTTATTTATCTTCTTTTTATCTTTCTTGTATATTTTATTAATAAAAATCTATTTTTTTTTATTATTTAGATTTTTACATTTTGAAATATACTTTCATAATAATTTGTATAAATTAATATTATTATATTATTTATGTATTATATGTATTTATTCTTAATTTAAAATTTATAATTACAATACTATTCACAGAATATATATCTTATATTTTATATAAAATAATTTAAAATTTTTTTTTTGTATTTCTTAATTTTCATAAAATATTATGTCTTACAAATAAATAATTTTTGTATTTTTATACTAGAATTATTTTTAGAATATTATATTATTTAATACATCTGAATTAAAAGAATTATTAAATTATTAATTATTTCATATTTATTATATAGTAATTTTTCAAGAAGAATTATTTTTATATGAATTAAAAAAAAAAAAAAATAATATATATTTATAGATTCTGGTATTAAAAATAAAATATTTCTAAAAAGAAATAAAGGAAAATTTTTATTTAGCTCTTTTAATATATATTTAAATTTGTTTTTAACATATTTAAAGAATCTTAATGTAATTTTCCAATTTATGTGAATAAATTCAAACAATTTAATATATCATGGGATAAAGAAAAATATGATTGTAAGAATGTTTATAGTATAAATATCAATCGAAAAAATGAATAAAAGATATACATTAAAAAAAAATTTTTTTAATAATGAAAATACTAAGAGGTTTTATTTTTTCATTTATGTTAGCCATTAGAATAAATCTTATATAACATTATATTTTATTTCATCTATATTAGAGGATTATTCTTTAAGTTATTTCTTTCAAATATTTAAAAGAAAATTTCAATTATTTCAAAAGAATATATAAATTATAAATTTATAAATACTATAATACTTAGAAATTAAGGTAATTTTGTTAATTTTGTTAATTTTGTTAATTTTGTTTCTAAAGACAGAAACGTAAAATCTTCAATATTATATAAATACATATAAATTATTTCTTTTTCCTTCTTATTAATCACATATTACTATTTCTAAAGTATTTCTAAATATTTTTATAATTTGTAATAAATTTTTTTTTAATTTTTATATAAAAATCTTGAAATAATGTTTTCTGGTTGATAAAAATTGATTATTATTTTTAGATAGTTAAAAGACTTTATATGTAAGTATTATAAAAATATATTATTCTCACAAATGATTGTTTAACATATGTTACTTTTATTTTAGAAATATGATTAATAAAATAAAGTTCTAAAGAAAATATAAGGAAATTTAATAAAATAATATAAAATTTTATCACTTTACGTATATATATGTGAATTAATAAAAAATTATACTATCATCATATATTAACTTATAAAAATTAATAAATTCTTCAATTTATTAAAAATAGAGCTTTTTCTTATGTGAAAAAAGTTTATTTTTATTTTTACTTTTGAAGCCACAATTATATCTAATAACATATTAAACTATAACAGTATATATATTATTTAAGATTTATAAATATTATAGACGAACTTTCACTTTTTTTTTTTTTTTTTTTTTTTAATAGAATTGTTACACACTAAGAATTACTTATATATAATTTTATATTTATTAGTATCATTATATTATTTCGAAAAAATAAAATATTCTAAAATAAAACAGAGTATTGTTTTATTATTCTTATAAGGAAAGACATTTTTATTGTTTTTTATTATTATACTAATTAATAAAAAGTGCATTTATAAATTTTTTTTTTTTTTTTTATTATTTGATAAATAAGAAACAGTAATATATACATGTAACTATACATATAAAGAAATATATTTCTAAATAAACTAGATTACTAATTTTAAGAATTTAATAACTCATAATTTATTATTAAAAAAAAAATTAACATTAATAATTAATAAATACTTTAAACTAACGTAAAAAAAAATCTGTTGAAAAAAGTTGCATATTTTATGTGATCATTCAAAAAAAAAAAAAAAAAAAAAAAAATCTAATATAAAAATAAAAATAAAAAAAGTACAAGTTTCCAAAAATATACATGGTTTTTTTATTTTATTTTATTTTTTTTTTTTTTACAACCAAAATATTAAAATATTTTTTACTTAGAATATGTTGATATTTTATAAAAATACATTATTTAAAGTAATTATTCTTTCTGGTAATCTTTAATAAAAAATACATATTAAGCACCAAAAGTGCAATGATAATAATAAAATATGATAAATATACCATTCTCAATACAAAAATTATTTTTGATAATTCAATTGAACATTTAAGCATTTACAGTAAATTTTATAGTATAATTTTTTTTTAATATTTTAAAATTTTAATGAATAATAATTTTTTTTTTTTTTAATTAGTAGTAAGGAATCAAGAATTTTTTATTCTAGTTGAATGAAAATTGAATTTTATAAAACATTATAAATATATTTATTCTATTAATTATTTTATTTTATTTTATTTCTTTTTTGTCAGACATATGTATTTTTGTACATGTTAAACTATCGGTATGTTTGTGTTAATTTGTTATATCTTAATTACATGAAATTTATTTTTTTCGTTATTTTATATAAATAATAAATTTTATATAAATCATTACTCTTATTATATTTTAAAAAGTAATTGTCTTTACGCCTATTTACATATATTTATATATATATATGTAAATATATGTATATATTTTTTTTTTATTATCCTAATTTATTTATTATATTAACCATTATTTTCAATAATGCATAATGAAACAAAAATAGGAAAACATGAATTAACAGAATGGGTAGAAAAGCTTTTAAGCAGAAAAAATTTCGATTTTAAAAATTTAAAAGATGGAGATATTTATTTACAGATATTTGAGTATATATGGCCAAATATAATGAAAAAATATAAGGACTGTATTAATATAAACCCTATAAGCGATATTAATAAAAAAAAAAATTGGAAAATTATAAGAAATGTTTTAACCTGTGTAAACATTGACAAAGATTTTATCAATTATGATGAAATAGCTACAGATAATTTTAAAAAATGCTATCAATCATTAATAATACTATATTTTTTGTATTCTTTAGTTAAAAATCATGAATGTGATTTTATATTAGCATATCCTATCGATCAAAAATTAACAGATTTTATGTCAAGTGAAGAACCGTTAACTTGTTTAGTAAAAGCTGGTAGCGTACAATTACCCGAAAATTTTTTTGAAAAAACTTCAAATTCTACAGTTAATTTAAATAGTTTAATTAAAACAAATGAAAAAGTAAAAAATACTTCAAAAAATAATATATCAATTAATGAAAATTTTAATGAATTAAAAGTTCAGAACGAAAATCTAAACTGTATAGATAAGTCTGATTATGATGATGATTACAATTTTGAAAAATATATAAATAATTACCATAATAATAATGAATACAATAATTTAAAGAAGGAAAATGATAACATTAATGATTTAGAAGAAAGTTTTAATTTAAACACAAAATTTTCAACATTAGAAAATTTAAGTAATAATTATTCCTTAAATTCTTTAAAAAATTTTGACTTCAATAATATAGAAAAAAGTAAAAATAAGGAAGAAAATTATTCACAATTTAAAAACATTTATTGTAACAATAAAAATAATAATAAAAGTCATAATTTATCGAAAATAAATTTAAATAACAAACCTACTGATGAATATAATTCAAATATATACACTGATGATAATATTGCATTCATCAATAACTGTGATGTAAATTTAAGAAAAAAAAATTCCTCATACAATTTAAATGATATTTCTTCTTCCAATAATGGTAGCATTTTTAATTATTTTAATTCTAAAAAGGAAGAATATGATAACTATCAAAATAAGATAAATGAAGCTAACAAAAAAAATTTATCTGTTCCCAATTTAAATTTATTTAAATTCCCTTATATTAATGATAATACATGTAATAATAAAAACAACATTATTATGAATTTTAAAAAAAGTACAGTAGACGCTTCTTCTCAAACAGAAAATGATAATATTTTAAATAATTTACTTAACGATGAAAGTTGTACAAATTTAGAAGTTATATGGAATGATCAGAGTAAAAAAATAAAAGGAGATTCTTTTATTTTTTTTTTAAAAACACAAATTAAAATGTTTAAAAAAGAATTAGATACAAAAAAAGAAGAGCTAGAATTAATTCAAAAGATTAATAAAAAAACCATTAACGATATGAAAACATCATATGGTACCGAATTAAAAAAACTTAAGGAAAAATATGAAGCAGAAATTTTTTATTTGAAACAACAGCACTTAGAAAATTTAGTTATTGTAAGGAAAAATTTTGAATCAAAGTTAAATCATATAGAAGAAGACCTTTTATTAGATTTGGATGTTTTAAATAGTGAAAATAAAAACATGGATTTTCCGAATGAATATAAAAAGATACCATATATAGATGATCATTTGGAAAATAATAATCATGAAGAGAAAGAAAACAAAGATTATTATACTAATATGAACATTGGTAACTTTTTATTTGATAAAAAAAATTTTAACCAAGATAATAAAACGGCATCAACTAATTCCACAATAAAAGAAGATATAAATAACAACATTTCAAAAAAAAATAGTTTTTTAAATTTCAATAACATTAATCAAGAAGATAAATATATGAATAAAAAGGAGGAAAAATATGTAGAAGAAAATATAAACATTAAAAAAACAGTTACACACAATAATAATTATATGAATAATAGTATAGAATATTCCATTAAAAAATTAAAATATTTGCTAAATGAAAAAAATAAAGAACATATTTTGAATAATGAATATATCAAGAATGAGATTTTAAATTTAAAATCTATGTTTAGTAAGATTATTCAAGAAAAAGAAAATATATATAATAATTATAAAGATAACAATGAAATTTTTAATGAACTACTGGAATTCATTGAAAAAAATGCTGATAAAAAAAATGTAAATGATAATTTAAGTAAAGATTTTTACATTGAAAAAATAAAAAATACTATTTATAATATAATTAGAAACAAAAAAAAAAATCATGTAAGTGAAGAACATATTAACAAATATTTAGATGAAAGTGCTTTAATTAGTTTAATTGTTTATTTGGGCTCACTACTTCACTTAGAACGAGTAAGATCAGAAATAATAAAAATACAAAAGGAAAGAAATATTTTTATAATGAATTATGTTAAAAATGAAAACACAACAGAGCATCTATTAAATAAAAAAAACAATATAACAGAATTTGAGGATGAAAATAATAAAGAAAATCCTAAAATTCTATCGAATGAAGTACCAAGTAACGAAATAGAAAATTTTGAAAAAGCAATGGAGTTAGATGATAAAATAAAAAAATTAGAACACAAAAACAAAAAATTATTATCTATAAATGAATATTACAAAAAGAAATTAGAACATGTAGAAATATGGAAAAGCACTCTAGAAAATTTCAAAAAAAAATGCAAGAAATTCAATAATTCAAGTAATACAACAGATCAATTAGAAGATAAAAATTCGAACTTTATAAAAATTAAAGAAATAGATGAATCAGATAATACGATGGGATCTTCTTTTATATGGTTTCCTCAGTTTTACCTAAAATCATTTGAAGAAGAAGTAGAAAGAGAAGCCCAATTAATGTATCTTTTAAAAAAATTAGGTAGATTCGATAAAGAACAAGATTTAAATGTTTTTGAAAGTAATTTATATTCTCATTCCATTAATAAAAATAGCATAAAAAATAATGAAAAACTATTATTACCAAAAAAAAATAAAATATGCTCAATATATAACGAAAATTATATTTCAGACAAAGATGATATTAAAAACAACCAAGAAAATGATAAACTTTCATTAATTAATCAGAATGAATTCTTAGTAATTTTAAAAAAAAAATTAACATACATCTTTTGGCAGATGTTAGGAGATATTTACAAATATAGAAATATTATTCATGAAGCATGCAACTATATTTATAATTTAAATAGTCTGTTAAATAATTACATTTTAAAAAATGAAGAAGCTCAAAAGGAAGTAAAAGAGAATTTTGATTTATGTAGCAAAAATAAAGAAAATTCTTATTTATCAGAAAAATATAGATTGAGAAAAATAATAGGAATAACCAAATTGAATATGGATATTTATAGAGAACAATATGTTGAATTAAAAGATGAATACGAAAAAGAAAAAAAAAATTTAATTATTTTAACGAATGCTTGCTACGAAAATGAAAACACAAAATATAAAAATACCATTCAGAAATTTAGAGAAGTAGATAAAAATTTAAAAATGTATAAAGCTAGAGAAAAGAAATGGAATAAATTAGTAAAATTATTAACTATTGAAATAAGAAATTCATCGAAAGATAATCAAGAAGAAATAAAAAATGTATGGCTAGAAATTATTGCAACAAAAGAAAAAGGATCTGAAGAATTTAAGAAAATCAACAATGAAAGATTGCAAAAGAGTGATGATGATTATCTTGATTTAGGTGAAAACCGTAATAAACTTGCTACTATAATAGATAACATAAATGAACAAAATAAGTATTCTAACAATATTATAGCACCTAGCAAAAATAAAAGTAAAGAAATAATTAATAAAAAATTGAACTCAAATAAAATATTGACAAATAAATATTATTGTAATTATAAAAAAAAAATCAATAACAAAAATGAATACTCTAATAAAAACATTACTCAGAATAAAGGAGCAATAAATTTGAAATTAGATAAAAATAATCAATACACTAATTCTAATAATAATAATTTAAATAATAGTAACGATTATAAAGATAATGAAAATAATGAAATAAATTTTTATAAAAACGATTTTAATTTTTGTTTAGATCATATAGAAAATAACGATATTTTGTATTTTTATTCAACAAGTGAGACAGATAATTTAATAACTGACAAGGATCAATTTCCAATTAATTTTAAAGCAGAAGAAAATAAAAATAGAGAATTAAACTCAAATAATATATTAAAAAATACAAATAATAATTCCATAAAATTTACTAATTTTAATATAGAGAATATGAATAGTAATGATATTATATTAAGTGAAAATAAAAATTGGTTTACTCAGTTGAGCCAAATGGCCAAAGAGTCATGTAGAATGTTTCAAAATCTTCTGAACTTAAAAGAAGATGAATTAAAAGAAAAAAAGAAGAAAATAACTGATTTGGAAAACAAATTAAGAGAGTTAAAAGAAGAAAATATGAATCAAAAAAATAAATATAAATGTTTAGAAGAGCAGAAAGAGTTTTTAGAAAATAAATTAAGTTCTTTAAGTGATAATGTAGATAATTTAAATTCTCAGATATTTTTACTAAATAAAGACAAAATATATCTAGAAAGTAAACATCTAACACAACAACAGGAGCTTAGTATAATTATAAAAAATTACAAAAATGTAATTGATTCAATAAGAAAACACGTCAAAAAATATTCATCTATTTTATATTTGTTGGATAATTTACCAGAAGAAGATGAAAAATTTATCCTTGATTTAACAAATATAGAGGAAAAAAATAATTCATTAAATTTTTCTCTTAATATAGATAAAAATTTAGAATTGAAAAAAGGAGAGATGAATGATGATGTAAGAGTAAAAATAAATACAAAAGATCCTCAAGTTATAACTAATTTTTCAAAACTTAGAATTTCAAAGTTAAATGATAAAAATAATTTTGTATCCGATTTATATATTAATGATTTAATCAAAGATATTAGATGCGATAACTTTAGATAAATACTTTCTAATAATTATATATATTTCAGAGTTTCATTAAGTTTATATTTTTTATTATATATAAACATGAACAATCTTCCATAATCTATTTTTTATTCTTAATATCATAAAATAATAATTTCATAAGAATTTATTTCAAATTATGTATTAAATAAAAAGAAAAAGTATAATAATAAAAAATACAAAATAAAAAAAGACACGTAAAATAACAAAAATATATATTAAAAAAAAAAAAAAAAAAAAATTCACAAATGCTTTTATTATACTATTTAAAAAATTATTTTTTTTTTTTTTTTTTCAAGTATTCAGTTTGTTGATATAGTATATATATCCATATAAATAATATTTTGTTTTTTTTTTCAATTATTCAGATTGTTGATATAGTATATATATCCATATATGTAATATTTTGTTTTTTTTTACTTTTTTAGTATTCACATTTATTCCAATATTATATATTTTTACTTGATATAAAATTTTTTTTTATGTTTTTACCTTGCATTTTTTTTCTTTTCTTTTTTTTTCATTTGAAATTTCTTAAGGAAATTTGTAATTTTATCCGTAGATGGTACAAAAGTATAATATACAATTATTATCATTTTTTTATATTTATCGTCTTTATTTTTTCTTAAGGATATACATTTTCTGTATTTGTATTTTTTTTCTAACACATTCAATTTTTGATATAAATTATTGATATAAATTTTTGATATAAATTTTTGAATCATAAAATATTTTTAATACAAAAATTATATATATATTGATGTACTTTGAATTAATAAAAATATTAAAAAGACAGAAAGTTATAGTATTATATGATATAAAGACTAAAAAATTAAAATGTACGAAGAATTTAAAATGTATATAAAAAAAATCCAAACATATTTAAACAAAATATAAATTTCTTAAATTTGTCATTTTTTTATTTTCAATTTTTCAAAGTTTTTATGCCACTAATTCATTTATGGATAAATAATGAATTCAAAAATTAATTATACAAATGAAATAAAAGAAAAAGAAAGTTGAAACATATAAAATATATAAAACATATAAAATATATAAAATTAAATTGAAATAACATATATATCATATTATAATTAAGTAAAACTATATAATAGGATAATAAAATATATATCTTAACATTTTATTAAAAAAAAAAAAAAAAAAATAGATGAGCTACTGTTAATGCATAACTATCATTTAACAATACTCATAAATTAAAAAATTGTATGCAATATGTAAAAACGTTTAAACATTATAAATGAAAAGTATCTTATAAAAAAATTTTCAAAAACATTTTATTAAAATAGTAAAGACATATGTTGAACTAAAATTTATTATTAAAGTTTTTATTTATTAAATAAAACATGAAATATATAAAAATATATTTTCTACTAAAATTTCTCCTCAAAATAATTAAGTATAAAAATTTATTAATTTAATATATTATCAAAATTTTAAGTTTATACAAATATATATTAACTATGAATTCAAATTTTTTTTTTTATTATTTTATTATTACCTGTTAAGTTATTATCCATAAAAAAATTTAATTTGAAATTATCTAAAGAAGGTTTTTTATAATTATTTAATTTATTTTTTTAACTAAAATAATCATGAAATTAAATTATAAACATAATCCTTTAAATGCTAATTCTAATATTTGTTTTGTGTTTATATTGACATGAATAATTTTTAAAAATTATTTACTTATTATTATTATTATAATTATTAGTAGTAGTATTATTATCATTATTATTATTATCAATATTATTATTATTATCATTATTATTAGTATTATCATTATTAGTAGTATTATCATTATTAGTAGTATTATTATCATTATTATTATTAGCAGTATTATTATTATAGTTGTTATTATTATCATTATTAGTAGTATTATTATTATAGTTATTATTATCATTATTATTAGTAGTAGTAGTATTATTATTATAGTTATTATTATTATTATTAGTAGTAGTAGTAGTATTATTATTATAATTAATATTATCATTATTATTAGTAGTAGTATTATTACTATAGTTATTATTATCATTACCATTATTAGTAGTATTATCATTATTAGTAGTATTATTATTATAGTAGTTATTATTATCATTATTAGTATTATTATTATAGTAGTTATTATTATCATTATTAGTATTATTATTTAAGTTGTTATTATTATCATTATTATTATTATAATTATAGTTATTATTGGTATTATTATTATAGTTATTATTAGTATTACTATTAAAGTTATTATTATCATTATTATTATTATTAGTAGTATTATTATAGTTATTATTAGTATTATTATTATAGTTGTTATTATTATCATTATTATTATTAGTTGTATTATTATTATAGTTATTATTATTATTAGTAGTATTATTATAGTTATTATTAGCATTATTATTATAGTTGTTATTATTATTAGTAGTAGTATTATTATAGTTATTATTAGCATTATTATTATAGTTGTTATTATTATTATTAGTAGTATTATCATTATTATTATTAGTATTATTATTATTAGTATTATTATTATTAGAATTATTATTATAGTTATTATTATAATTGTAATTATTATCATTATTATTAGTAGTAGTATTATTATTATAGTTGTTATTATTATCATTATTAGTAGTAGTAGTAGTATTATTATTATAGTTGTTATTATTATCATTATTATTAGTAGTAGTATTATTATTATAGTTGTTATTATTATCATTATTATTAGTAGTAGTATTATTATTATCATTATTATTATTAGTATTATTATTAATACTATTATTATTATAATTATTATATTTATTAATACTATCATAATTATTATTATTATTATCATTAGTAGTAGTAGTAATATTATTATTATAGCTGTTATTATTATAATCATTATTACTAACATCATTTTTCTTCCTATTATTATTATTATTATCATTATTTTTATTGTTTATTTTATTATTATTATAACTGTTAATATTACTATTATTTTTATTATTATTTTTATCATTACATAAATAAGTATTTTCATCACTGCTTGATTTATCATCAGTTATATTTTCATTTTTAGAAGAATTTGTCACATTATTATAACTTGGACTTTTTTTATCATCATCAGAAGAATTTTCTCTATTATGTTTATCATTTGATTTAGATTGCATATTCCACATTTGTGTATATTCTCCATTAAGTTTTAATAAATAATGATGATTTCCTCTTTCTACAATTCTTCCTTTATTTAATAAAATAATTTGTTCAGCTGATGAAATAGTGCTAAGTCTGTGTGCAATAATTATTAGAGTTCTATTTTTTCTTAAATCCTCAACTGCTCTTTGAAATAAATATTCTGTTCTTGAATCTAATAAACTAGTAGCTTCATCAAAAATAACAATTTTGGGATCCTTTAATAAACATCTAGCAATAGATATTCTTTGTCTTTCCCCTCCTGATAACTTAACCCCTTTGTCCCCAACTATAGTATCCCATTTTTTTGGTAAGGATTCAATAAAATCATACAATTGTGCAGATTTTACCGCTTGTATTAATTCCTCATTTGTTGCATTTAGCTTTCCATACAAAATATTATATTTTATAGTTTCATTAAATAAAATAGTATCTTGAGGTACTATTCCTATTATGTTTCTAATAGAATTTCTTGTATATTTACTTATATTTCTTCCACCAATTTTTATCTCTCCTTCTGTATCATAAAAACGATACAACAATTTAGAAATAGTAGTTTTTCCTGATCCAGTATGACCAACAATAGCACAAGTAGTACCAGCTGGTATAAATATATCAATATTTTTTAAAGAAAGATTCAGGGGTTGTGTAGGATAATGAAAATTAACATCAACAAACTGAATACTTACACCAAATTTTTTTTCGTAAGATGTTAATGCAAATGGTTCTAAGTTTTGGTCATCTGGAACATTTATTTTTTCTCTTAATACATCTGTTAAATCATTTATATCTGTGAAGGATTTCACTATATTGGTATATAATGTACCTAATATACTTAAAGGAGAAAATACATTTGTTATATACACTATTACACTAATAAAAGTTCCACTATCTGCTCCTTTTTCTATTATCATGTAAATTGCACAAAATAAAGTAAAAAATAAAGTTCCATTTAAAATAAATTGTTGAATACTATTTAGTATACCTAAACTATTTAAAATTTTTAAATTATATCTATTATAGTTAGATAAGGCGTTGCAAAATCTTTTTATTTCAAACTTTTCATTACTAAAATATTTTACAGTTTCATAATTTGTTAATGAATCATGAGCTATATCATGATATACATTATCCATTTTATTTGCTTTTGTCCTAATTTTTTTTCTCCATTTTGTTATTTTTATGGTTGCATATATATATAATGTTAATCCAATAAACAAAACACTTCCCAACATACTATTTTTATATTTAAATATAAATATTACACATGTTATAACTCCTTCTATTGTTGCTGGTATTATATACATTAATAAAGAATTCATTAAATTATTTGCACTTTCTGTTCCTCTATCAACTATTCTCATAATTCCCCCCGAGTTTTTATTAGAATACCATTCATAAGATAAGTTATGAAAACTTTGGAAAATAGACTCTTGTAATTCAATGAATGCAGATTGTTGAACTTGTGAATATAATATACCACATAATTCTTTAAGAAATTTAGAAATAAAAAAAAATGTTACGTATAATCCAAGGTAAAAAATAGAATTTGAAAAATTTTTTTTTAGAACTTCATTAGATGCAATACCAAGATATATAGGTGATATAACACTAAATATTTTGGATATTATTATAAATAAAAAAATAATCACTATATAAAAACGTAATATTAAACTATTTCCTTTTAAATCTACTCTTCTACTTGGCCATAAATAAGGTAGTAGAATATTCTTAAATTCATTATATGTTAACTTATTCTCTAAATAATTTATATTCGTACTATAAGAGAAGGTCTCATCATCACTATTATTGTTTCTATAGTTTTTTTCCCTTTTTGATAATAATGATTTTGTAACATTTTTTTCTATTAATAAATCATTTATTTTTTGTGATTTTTTTTTTGACATTTTTAATTCTTTTAAATTTTTATATAAGGTGTCTGAATCATATAATTTACTATATGAGAAATTTAACTCTAATAAACTTTTATTTTCACCAGTTATCATGGTGCTGTTTTCGTTACTACAATTTGTATCTAATAAATTATTATCAAAATCATCTTTAAATAACTTATACTTCTTTATATCTTTCAGTAAAATCTTTTCTAATTTTGATCTAGCTATTAAACATTTTTTCTTAACATTATATAACTTATATTGAATAAAATAATAGTAAATTGAAGATACTAAACTATATATCATAATTATTATTCTAACTATACTAAAATATATACCATTATAACTTGTTTCCTCTGTATTTAAATTATAATGAAAATTTATCATTTTTATAGAATTTAAAATAGCTAGAAATCCAGTTAAATGTCTAGAAAATACATAAAAATTTTCTAATATATTTATTTTATTTACATGGGAATAAAAAAAAAGCAAAATAATAGTGTAAATAATTCTTGTTAAATTTAAAAAAGCTAAATCAGTCAATGATTTATAAAAATTGTAAAATATTTCCCTTTCGTAATTATATGATAATACTACATCAAATTTAAAACAACTTAAAAATAGTATTATAAATATTATAATATCTATTATATGATATATAATTATTTCCTTATATATAGTTCTTCTTTTTATCTCATTTTTTACTCCAAAATCTCTTAAATATTCGTAGTTAGAAAGATCCATTTTCGTTACATACACAAAATTTAAAAGAAAAGAATTTAACAACAAAATATATTTAAAAATATAAAAATAAATATTAAAATACTTTTTATAAAAGCTTAAAAAATAAAAAAATAAATGAAATTATAAAATGCACATAAAAAATTGTTGCCTACATATATATATATACTTATAAAAACACAAAAATTAAAAAAATTTCAAATAATCATATAAATCTATGATAATTTTTATTATCATTATAATGTTCATATATAATTTTTCAAAATTTTAATATCAATATATGTATTTTTATATACATATAAATTTCATTATATTTATTTATTTATATAAATTTTTTCTTTTTTCTTTTTTTTTTTTTTTTTTTTTTTTTTTTTTTGT